AATTCATGTTAGATAATTATTTTTTTGATTTGGAAAAGTGTTTTCAACTGATAGATCAATACTAGTTTCTCTTAATTTCCCATTACATTTATACATGACTGTCTGTACTTCTAGTACTGATATTGTGTGACAGGATGTCGTAACAAGGTAGCTCTGTATGTACTTAATTTGCATGCCCATATTCTTACCTGTCTTTAAACATACCTACTGCATATTTTGACCAAAAAACAAAAATCTTTTAGTGCTCACAATAGTTTAGATATTTGTGAGACGGGTGATCTAACAGGGGGGGGGGAGGGGGGGGGGGGCATTTCAAGTCAGAATAAAATAAGCATGGATAAAAGTTTTGGGCTCCTAACACCAGAAATTGGCCCAAAAGGCCAAGTAATGTCTAAAAAGGCCTACTAATTGAGGCCCTACAAAATGTTTGGCCCCAAAACCTTTTTCTGGGCCCATCCCATGGGGTCTGCCTCCTCCCCTGGATCTGCCAGCACTGAGCATTTACAGCTAATTTTCAGTTAGTAGGATATATAAATGTTTGTTGATATCTCCAAAAAGTGTTTCTGACAGTAACCTGGAATGAAAATTCCAGTCAATTCCGTAAAATGTATTTAGTTAATCTAATTTAGTGTCCTGAATTACATTGCCTGAATCACTAATTAGTTCTACATTCGGAGGCTCAATATATAGAAACCTTTCAATGAAAAATTTAACCATGAGTTCAGTCGAACCCATCGAACCCCCTGGCTATGGGCCTGGTATGCTACATGATACAGATGCATTAGGCTTCCTCTGATTTCTTTCAGATATTTACTTCCTGGTTTTTGTCTGACAAGTAAAAATTGAATTATAAACACTGTAAAATCAAAATGCCATAATATAAATGAAATGAACTGATATAGAGATAAATAGGTCTAAATAGTTAAACCCCATCAAAGGATTCCCCAATCAGAATAATCAGAATTAGACATGTGTCCTCAATTGACCAATCAGATGCCATTAAGGAAAGAAAGAATGATGGGATATCTTACAGTTCACATCTGTTATGTGATATTGAAATCAAATCAAGTGGTATTACTTTTGATAATATAATAGCCTGAATGGCAGAAGTGTCTTGATTATGTCGAGAAATCTTGTATGTTCATGATGAAATTTTATTGATCAGAATCAAAGATGAAGATGTGGTTCCTTAGCAACAGATCCCTTAGCAACCGACAACAACTAAGATTACCAATCAAAAACATCAATTTGCTCCTTGTTAGACATTTTGGTATCTTGTTCACTGTCTTGTTTACCAGGATTTGTCATGTACGGTATACACCCTATAACCTGAAAACATAAGACCTTCTCCTCCTTTTGGAGAAATAGCTTGAATAGCAGTGTTCTCCCTAGAGTTTTTTCTCAAGTGGGTGCAAAATTCTTATTTTCACAATTCAGACCAAAATTGGTCAAAATAAGCCCATTTTTCATGATTTTTCTCATTTTCAAGTAGGTGCATAATTACAAATGGATGACTGTGCTTATGACAAGTCTTCACTGATAGATATGTTGATACAGGGTGATCCAAAAAGTTTGTTTTGAATTTCTAAATTATAGTCGTTTTCATAGATAATCTATGACATCTACTTTTTTTGTAATGAGTTCTTTCTAGTGAAACAGAAAGATGCAATAAGTATTAGAATGTGCGAAAGAGGTAATTATATGTCTCTGAACTATGGCTTATCTCCTCTTCCAGTAAACTTGAAAAATTGATATTGTGTATAATTTCATAATGTTAACGGAAACATTAGAGACGCGATCTGATAAACTCAAGTACAGACATAGAAAACTGTTATATCAAAACAGTGTTTATGAGAGAAAGTTTCTCAGAACCTTTGAATAAAGAGGAAGAAATCATAATATGGGTTTGTTGTACTACGGAAGCTGTTCTCTTCTTTCTAACCACTGGCCATGTTTATTCCTCACAATTTCTCTTCAAAACTAATTTTCAGGCTTTACTAAGGGTGTAGTTAAGATCTGGTATGTCAAGATGAGGCAAATTTAGATAGACGAGGCAAATCCAATGCAAAAGAGACAAAATGATCTAAATAGACAAGATTTTCAGTTTATGTTTAAAATGTCTGAAAAATAATTTTCTTTGAATTTTTTATTTTGGCAACGTTATAGATTATGTTGTATGTACAATATGTAATTTAGTGGCTTAACTTCATTCATTGCTAAATTCTCCCAGAGTTCTCTGTTTTCCTTTTAATGTAAGTGTGCCATGACAGGTGCTTCTTTACAATGTACTTTTGTATTGTAATGCACCTATTATGCCACTCTATTTACAATAAACATTTTTAAATTAGATTTTATTGAGATATTTTCCTTAATAACTCAATGTCAGAACACATGTTGCAAATAAAATATTTATTTCCACAAACTTTTTTCCTTTTAATAAATGAAAGAAGGAGAAAGCAGATTGGTGAATGCATACAGGGCAGAGGGGGGGGGGCTGCTGAGGAGATTAGAGGCTGAGGGGAAATAGATACTATGGGAGGGCAGGAGGCTATAGGAGCCCCTCTGTTACCACTTGACAAAATGTTTGAAATAGGAAATGGGGGGGGGGGCTAAGAAATACAGTAAAAACACACAGGTTGGACTTTGTAGTATATGTCTTTGTAGCATATGTCCTTTGTAGTATATGTCTTTGTTGTATATGTCCTTTGTTGGATTTAGGGAAACAATGAGGCAATATTCTAGATAGTAGGGGGGGGGGGTCAGGAGATAAATAGTTAAGGGGAGATGAGAAACTCGGCAAAACTCAAAATGAACAAGCTGGGTTGGGTGTTAGTTTACACCTCAATACACCTTTGCTACCTAAAAACATTACATTTGTGTATTTAAGTAAAATTAAAAAATATGTATTTGAATAAGATATAATGGTTAACATGACCTCAATGCATTTTTTATTTGTTTGCTTGTTTAGTTCATGTCTTAGTCCAGTATCGTGACTATGAATCACTTGGCATGAGATTATCAAATTATCATTTAAAGATTATCATAAGACTGTATAAGATATAGTATTTAGTGGCATTTGTCATACAAACTTATTCATTTCAAGTTATAGATGAGTAATGGGGGAAGGAATAGTCTTGAATTTATTCTTTGTTTGTGACCCTCCCCCTAACCAGAAGTTACAGATTTTTCTAGTATATTTAAGTTACAAGATGTAATTTAGTTTCTCCATTGGTATGGGTGTCTAACAGCATGATCATATAGTGAATATTATATAAGATATTATGAAATAAATTGATATGAGAAAGAAATGATATGAGACTACACAAAAATGTTTTCAATCATTCTCTAAATAGGATTCAGGTTATTATCTCTTACTCAAACAAGTGGCCAATATAGATAGCCTAACAAGCATGTATTCCCAGATAGCCAGCCAGCTACTAAAAATAGCAATTCCCAAAAGTTAAATGTCTAAAACCTATATTTACATCATATAGAACATTTACTGCACTAGTCGAACATCAAGGGCACTCTAGTTAGTCAAGATTGGTCTCTATACAGGCTTGTAGATTATCTCAGAATGAAGATGCATCCTTTTACCTCTTTAGGTTTTCTATTATCCCACCGAATCAAGTTTTAGTAGGGATATTGTGAAGCCCTCTTTCTGTATATAGAAATATAATGTAGAACAGCATGGAGAAATCCAGTGTTATATTATATTATGTCGTATATTCTTTCATTAAATTATTTTTTAAATTCCAAGTTTATTTTGTCATACTTAAAAAAACAGGTATAACATTTATAAATCATGTATCGTATGCTGTAATTATGTTGTGAAATGTAATGAGTGGAATTTTCAGCTTCCAAGTAACTTTTGATATTATGCATTTATAATGTAAAAACAGGAGAGAGAAAGTTGACTTCAATCTTTGGATCTGATAATTTGAATCCTGATATAAATGAAATAATAAATGTTTGAATTTCTCATCCATTTACATTAATAAAATATTCCAATGACCCCATTACCCTATCCCATCATTCATCATTCATGCATGCACTAGGTAATGTGACTGACCCGGAAACCATCTGTCAGTCCTCGCTCTCCACTGTCCAGTTGGCAAATACATAGTTCCACATTAATTACATGGCCTTTTTTACAATGTTTTTGTGTCAATAGGGGGGGGGGTGGTAATGTTTCTCGAGCCTAGGTCCTCTATACCTTACCCCAAAAAAAGTTTTTAGGGCCTCAAAATGGGCCCTTTTGGGCATAACTTGGTCTTTCTGGGCATTCTTTAGATGGAATTTTTTCCAAACTTGAATGTGGGCTCCCCTTGCTAGTTTCTGGATCGACCAGTGATTCCTCTGCTGTAATTAGAGCTATGCAAATCAGAATGTCCAGGAAATACCTTTATTGATCAAATTATTTTGAATTCAGGCAGTGTTTCAAGTATGCCTGGTTTATATTCAAATTACTTGTTTATTTATAAGATACTCCTGATTAACCATGAACTCAAAGAGCTCTTCTCATATACCAAAATTAGATAAAAGGGGGATACATTATTTATGAAAAATTTTGGTGGGATTTGCCATTGTCTAGTTATTTGGTTCGGATAAATTTGATTTAAGATGCCCCTGAGTATGATTGTACAAAATTAGTTAAACTTGTTTCAAACTCAACGAGCTTTGGGAATCGTGAGAGTATTGTTTTGTTTTATTTTTATATTTAATCCATTATTTTTCTATATTGAGATATTTTATCTTTAAGATGATATGATATGGTATCCCATGGTATCCTTGATCTGATGTCATGTCATCCATCATGAGATAACCCATATATTATATTTATCTTATAGGCATAAATATCCTCTATGTATTGTATAATTTATCAATATAGTCAAATGTTGACCCCTTAAAATTACAAATTGTATATTATTATCTCTATGAATTAAACATATACAAATATATACATATCCATTTTAATATTTCTTTTCCTTTTATTTTCCAGGGTTAGAGCCAAGTGGCCTGTCTCTAAAGAACTACCCGATACTTTTTCATGACACACATGGTGAAAATGTACGCCTTTCCCCGGATAAAAAGCGCGCCACCCGATACGAAAGCTTCTGCAAGGGGATAGCATTTAGCAACCGACCAATAGCAGTCAATGAACGAGTGTATATAAAAATTGCCGAAGTTTCGGCAAATTGGTCCGGGGTTCTTAGATTTGGATTTACATCAAATGATCCAGCTACGATAAATGCCGCTACCTTACCACGTTACGCATGCCCCGATTTAACGAACAAGCCCGGATATTGGGCCAAAGCTCTTGGAGAAAGATACGCAGAATTGATTGCTGTTATATACTTCTATGTGACCAGATCAGGAGATGTAATGTATGGAATAAATGGCGAAGAAAAGGGAATGTTTTTTAATAATGTGAATGTCAGTAATCCTTTGTGGGCACTCATCGATATCTATGGCAACTCTATGACGATAGAGTTTCTAGGTAAGTACAAATCATTGTAGTGATGGCATCATTGATTCATTGTAGTGAATACCTCACTGTAATGAAGGTTTAATAGCAGTGAACACCTTATTGTAGTAAACACCTTATTGTAGTAAACACCTTATTGTAGTGATGGCATCATTGATTCATTGTAATGAATACCTCACTGCAATGAAGGTTTATTAGTAGTGAACACCTTATTGTAGTGACAGCATCTTGTACTAAGAAATGCATTAAAGTGAAGACATCATTGTAGTAAACACCTTATTGTAGTATTATTGTTTGTAGAGAAGGGATCATTGTCATGAACACCTCATTGTAGTGAAGGCGTCATTGAAGTGAATTTGGTAGTAGTGAGATCCTCATTGTAGTAAACATCTCATTGTATTGAATGTATCTCTGTACTGAGAATCTCATTGTTGTGAACGCATAATTGTAGAGAATACTTTATTGTAGTGAAGGAATCATTGTAGAGAACATCTCATTTTAGTGAAGGGATCATTGTAGAGAAGGCATTATTGTAGTGAATTCAGAATTGCAGTGAGATTTTCATTGTTGTGAAGGCATCATGGTACTGAGAACCTCAACTACGAGGATGACTCGTGACTACTTCATTGAATGAAAATTATCTTTAATGGATATAGTGATACATCATTGCAGTAAACACCTGGTTGTATGAATACACGCTGATTGTAGTGACAACATGTATGTAGTTTTGACGCTATGTGGAAGAAACATTCTATTATTTCCAGATGGAGATCAGCTGAACAATCTGGCGCAGAATCTTCCAGTGGCAAACCAACCACAGAACCAAGTACAGAACTTACCACACAACCTGGGAGCTATGAACATTGGGGGAGGACAACAACCAATTTTACCCCACAGGGGTCTATCACGTAGCCACGCAGTGCCTTCTCAACCCCCTCTCCCAACCCAGAGGCCTGGATTGCTACCACCTCATGTCTCTCAACAACACAACTCTCAAGCGACTGCTGATTTTCACTCAACGGGACCCCAAATTAAGCATCATGCAAATGTACACTTTACGCCATTGCAATTTCATAATATGTTCGGGAAAAATGTACGAATTTCTCCTGAAAAAACTCAAGCCGCTCGGCTGCCAAATGAGTACAGTAATGGCTATGTGTTTTTGAATAGGCCTATAAAGTGTGGTGAAAAGGTTGTGATACAGCTATTAGCGCTAGATAGGGCTTATGTAGGGGGTATGGCATTTGGATTAACAGCCTGTGACCCTGCAAGCCTTATAAATGTTGAATTACCGGATGATTCTGATTTGCTACTGGATAGACCGGAATATTGGGTCGTCAACAAAGATGTCTGCCGTGCTCCAGAGATAGGGGATGAACTCAGCTTTTCTATGAGCAATGATGGTAGGTTTAAATTTGAATATTGTAAAATGTGTTTATTTACTAGATTCCATCCTTAAGACTGTTTACATAAAACATTTGATCTCTGATAAGCTGTATTTGCAAAAGATAAAAAATGAATTTGTAAAAATGCCATTTCACATTTAATCTCAATGATATGGAGAAAGTTATTTCAACATGAAATAAAAAAAAGATTTTTTTTTCCTAATTTCATACTATGAAGTTATTCTAATCATGAAAATAGCATAAAGAAATGACATGAAAAGTTTATAAAGAACAATAGCAAATTTGAGATTTGAGACATTTATCTTCCAGGTGAGATTGTATATTGCAAGAATGGGCATAAAGTAGCAACATTGATGTTTGTGGACAAAACTTTGCCATTGTGGATGTTCTTCGATATCTATGGCAACACACAAAAAGTTCGCTTACTAGGTATGTACTGGTATATGGTCTTTAGCTCTCTCCAATATTATCAAAATGTGATAATGTGAAACTTAATTTGATTTCAAGAAGGACTTTTTGTTCAAAAAATCGTAAATAAATAGTAATGATAAATCGTACTTTCAAATTTTACTTAGGACCTTTAAAAGGACCATCTTCATTTCATTTTTTGATAAATGACGTACTGTTAAAGCAGATGGTTTTTACTAATGTCAGAAGTTTGCATTTAGCTCCTTAGGTTAAGTTTAATGCAATTATGAGTTCATTAGTATACATAATGAAAGAAAGCTGATAGCCAGCAAAAGTTGAATTGATTATGAGGGTAATTTGAGATATTAAAATAATAAATGTATCTTATAAGTTCTACATTTGCTAATTGCAGATTATTAATGAAAAACCTTCTGCCAAGTTATGCACATTATATTGGGTATCACTGTCATGATAATTTTCTCTCGTGTGTTAAAAAAGTGAATCATACATGATACGTATATTTTATATTGGTGTGCTTTTGTATTAGTTTTGATAAGGCAGATATGTCAGTTTCTTGTGTGCCAGATATTTTGATTGATGTGTCTATCCATTGTGTCATAATTCTCCCTTTCGCGGTTCGCTCTTTGAATCAGAACGTTCGCAAATATGTACTGAAAAAGCACTCAAAAAGGACAACATTTGATTGGTCAATATTTTCCCACTATGCATTTCGCGAAGCTATTTGCGTGACCCGAAAGTTCTAAATCAAACTAATTACGCAATTTTGTTTTTACACCCGCACGCTAAATAAAACAATGACACCATCGGAAGTATTCTTCGTTATCATTGCTTTAATAGTCAGTAAACCGAGTTTAATCAATAAAAGATTGTACAATGACCAACAAAATTCAGAAACGAGTATTATAGATTTGCTTTCGGACCACTGAACAGATTGACCTAGATAATAGCGTCTTCTTTGGTCTACTGCTCAGTTGTTTGTGGGTTTTCAACGTAACTCTATAATGTAATTTGAAGATGAATACTTTTATATTCAGTTGTTGCATCGATGTTGCAGTTTGTAGTGCGGTAAGATTGGCAGGAAAGTATTGAAAGTCGAATGGAATTGTTTTTTCAAAAATAGCGACTAGTCAACTGATCACGTGACCTTCTCTTCCGGAATATTTTCTCACTTTTCAATTATCGTTTTCACCACGCTATGAATCAATACAATGAAAAAAATAGCTGTTATATTAAGACTAATAAGAGATCAATCTTTTCTAATAATTTTTTCTGTACTCTCGTACGGGAATATGAACGAATATATCATTTGAAAAATAGATGTGAAAATCCCCATGTTAAACCTATGAGGGAAAACAAGGAAGTATAAATTTGTTCCTCCGCGAACTGCATCGTGGGAAATATTTTGACCTTATAAGGAAAGATTTTCGCGTCTCCTCTTTTGAAGAGGGAACAACGATTTCAAGAATTTGTGTGTCAGCTCATTTGTGTACCTTTCCATTGTGTGTCATTGTCATATAATTACTATTAATGCAAAATGTTTTCATTACAGGTTTGACTGGAATTAATTCAACTGCAGGAGCTTTACCACAACCACAGGCCTCTCCCCAGGGCCAACCACAAGCGCCCCCTAGGCGCCCAGCCTCCTCCCCTTCACTAGGAGGAGCTACAAGCAGAATTGGAGGTGGGCTAACAGTAGCGCTACCCCCACGTAACGACAGACCAGGGACAGTTTCCCTCCCCCCTCCCCCACAGCGCCCCTTACCTCCCATACCTCCCAGCAGGCCTTTGAGCATGACCTCAATGCCTGCACACCCTCCACCCCCCATCCCCAAGGCAGCTAGTAACCCATATGTGCCTGCCGCGATGGTTAGTTCCCCTGCTGGGAGAAGTACCTCCCCTGCTGTCCCACAAGCCACCACTCCTGATGTAGCCAATCAGAACAAGGAAAATGAAGAAAGTGAGTGTACAATATGCTGGGAGCAGCAGGTGAACACTGTGTTGTATACGTGTGGTCACATGTGCATGTGTTACGAATGTGCAGTTGCACTCAAGGAGAGTGGAGATGGACTCTGCCCAATATGTCGGGCCACCATCAAGGATATTATCAAAGCCTATAGATCCTGATGTAAATGCTGTGTAAATAAAGGTGTGACGATTCCTGAGAAATATTAAGGTGAATTAAGATACTGCTATGTAATATAATAGGCACTGAGATGCTATGTATGTATATATCAAGAAAGCTTATTCTTAGTCTGTAATATTTTCGAAGAATACAGTATACTGATCATGTTTATGTACTGGTACACATGTATTAAACTCACATCCTGTAGAAAGAGCACAACAGTAGATGAGGTGCTGATAAAATACATGTACATGTATTTGTATTTCACCCTACAGAGACAGTGACTGCAGGTTTAAGACAAGAAAGGCAGTTTCTGTAATTCTGATCTTAAAATCACCCCCAAATGATTTTATTGCAGTTGTTGATTAAAATGATACATTAACAACATGGCTTAAAAATCCTTATGAAGTACTGTAGGTATGTAGATTCACTATTGTGGAAAGTGTTCCCCATTTGGCGGTTTGTGTTGGTTGGTGTTTGGCATTTGGTATCTGTAACAAATGGCAGGTGGTGACATTTTGCATGTTAATGTTCAGTTCAAAATTTGTCAAGCTGTTTACTAGGTGAGCGATGATAAATCAAAAACATTGTTGGTGTGATTTTAGTATCAGAATTACAGAAACTGCCTCTCAATGATCCCCTATCACACAAATTCAGCATCTTTCTCTCTTCTGCTCTAGGAATTCAGCACTTTTTGGCTATGTGTACATGTGTTAAATTAAAATGTAAAATACAGGGTGACCCAAAATGTGATTTTTCCAATTCTTAAGTCATAGAAGCAAAATAAGAATATGGTACCTCTGGTTGCTCCATTGTATAATGTATAAAAATATGACTATCAGAAGATTCCAGTGTTATTGAGAAAATTATTCTAAAATTAGAAAGTTACAGTTTTGGGATCACCCTGTGCCTGTATACAGACTGTATATAGATGAGCACTGTGCAAATTCCTCACGACGAAACAGTGAGACTCGCATGTACCATATTTTGAAAATACTGTATATAAAAGAGTTTCCTGTATGAAAAAAACAAAAACAACAAACATGCATATTCAAAAATACACACACAGGCATTTTATGTCATAAAAGCTCTCTGCTAGGTGTTGCATAGCAACGTCTATAAACATCGCACACGAATAAGTAGAACCCATGGTTTTTGCCGACTGCTCGCAGCGCCTCTAGTGGTTGACCTGTAATGACGTAAAATGCCTGGTGTGATACAAAATATTCAGATCTGCTTTTGAGAAAATCTTCAATTTAGCTTAAATGCAAATGCAATACTCATATATTTCAAAAAAAATCATAAAATCGAAAATTTAAGATCGGTGTAGGTAATGAAATTACATGTGCAATAGATACTGGGTAAAGATAAGTAAATAAAAAATGATCAGTGACGTAGCCAATCAGCATGGGAGTCTCGATAAATACCATCTCTTTGTTCTCAGGTGGCATATTAAATCAAATTGAATAAATCATGAAATTAACGATAAAGCCCTTTCTTGAACCATACATTATACCAAATAAACTAAACTTGACATATTTCTGAATAACTTTTTCTTTGAGAATAAATGAAATTGATAATTAACAATATTGTTCCAACAAATACTAAACAAATGGGAAAAATGATTAACACTATTAAAATATTTGACTAAGTCACAATGACCTATTATCATCTATATTTGTATGTAAATAAAGGTATGACAAAAATATGTTCTATAATGCAGTATTCAGTATTTTTATAATGGGACAGACTTGTCAACAGCGTATGTGTTGTCAGTTGTGCTTATTAAGGTATGTCTGGCTATTTAGATTTGCAACCTGTAATGGTCAATATGTAAAGGCTTACTCTTCTACTCTACCTTCCTTAATGTGCTTGTAAATATGCCTGTTATGTGTTTAGGTAAAACTTAATATTGTATATTTTGAGTACAATATGATGTAATGCTGAAACAAGCTCTTGTTTACTTTGTTGATCAGACATAATCAATGGCCATGAGAGCTTATTCAGTTTGTTTACTTAGAATAGCCACCAAATCGGAAGCATGAGACACCAAGTAATTATCATAATGAGCCCTTTTATTTGAACCAAATTAGTACCATGGGCCACCAGGGAATGGCCAAGCAAGAGTTGATAGTTCTTCATCTTTATTTTTACTGGACTGCCATCTTTATATGGGTATTGAAATTATACTTGGATCATACACTCTATGTATTCAAGTAATATACCAAATTAGAGTTATGACACACAATTAAGATCAATGATCTCCCCAGAATTAGAGTGAGCGGGTGTTGGAACATGTTTGAAATCTGAAAACTATATGCCACCATGTAAGCCTGGTGAAATAATGAAAAATTTTGTCCCAAAAATGTAAAATTTAGCACCCTGCTGATTAAAGAACACAAGGAGATCAATTGAAAGTGCAAAAAAGAATGCCCATGTTTTCCTTATTTATATTTTATCTAAAAAAGAGTTGTAACATTCTATCAACTGTGGAAGGACCAAATGAATTAGAATTGAAAAGGGTGTTCATTATCAGGTTTTTGGAATATCTACAAAAAAGGAATTATATGGAATGTCCCGAGCAGAAAGACTAAGGATTATGACTTTTCAACTCATCTCTAGGCTAGCCTTTATTTCAGTTTTAATATTTGCATATAATTGTAACATGTGATTGTGTTGTTCTAATTTTTGTTAATGTGAGTGTTTACGAGTAATTTACTGTAATCAGATGATTTAATGTGAAAATGTAAATCTTAATCCCATTTCTGATTGCATGATACCATTTATATATTACGTTGATTCACTCATTGTATGAATGTACTATGTATTATAAATAAGTTAAAACATATTTATTTAGTTACATGTATTTTACGTTTATCTTTTGTTTATTTTAATAAATGTTCTAGAACAATTAAGAAGTGTACAGTGATAGACCATGAGAAAGCTGACCATTTGTACATATTTAATAGATTAAATAAATTGTACCATTGAAATCTACTGACTGCTTTATTGTGATATGTTAAGATGCCTCAGTGATCTTCCCCAATTTTGAAAATGGGCCTACACTCAGTTGAAATCAATCTGCATTTATTTATTTACTTGGAAAAGAAAAAAAATCATGAAACATAAGCATATTCTATCAATATTTTGAGACGAATAGATTTTGCACCCACTTGAGGAAATAATTTATTGTGATAATATAAACCAAATATCAAACCCCCATATTGTTCCAAGGATCAATTTCTTTATCATATATGCCACACTCTGCCTTTTGACAGATGAAGCCAATAATCGTTTACATTTTGCAGTAAATTAATATCTGAGAAAACAAAAGATATTCATGTCAGTCATGACTTTAACTTGGCTTTGATTAAGTTAACATTCAAATACATTCATACTAAGTTCACACTTCCATATTTCTATTTGAAAAAGCCTATCAATCGAGTAAAATTCAAACTGGATTTGAGGTGACTAGATATGGCTTGATTCCCTGTCTTGAAGATAAAGGTTGAATGGTTGTGGGAAACATTTTACAACCCATTGTACTATCAATAAAGGTTGGATCAAGGTCTTTAAGTTTAAGATGGCATAACTACTCAACGCATGCCAAAAATCCCAGTGAGTAAATTTTGAGACAAGATAATTTGAGGGAGAGTCAAGATAACGAACAAAGGATGAGTCTGGGTATCGCCTTAGAAAATACTGAAAATTGTAATGTCTGAAAAACCAACTCAATCACACATATTATTAAACTTCAATATTTTATCCTTCTTCTGAGATTACAAAAATATCAATTTGTATCACAATTGATGAAGAATATTGGCATCAAAGACAGTGCATATCACTTTGTCAGAATTGAAAAAAAATCAATGACAAATATTAAATGAATTATTTATGCAAAAAGTTTGAAACATATCTTCCAAAACAAGACATTGAATGGTATTTCTGGATAAGTGAATTGGTGTTTATCTGGGTAATCAAGGGATTATAGTCACTCAAAGTTACTGAGCATCCACATTTGAGATTCAATTGTGTTGGTGATGTAACACATATTTCAGTCAAATTCATGCTGAGCACAACATTTTGGTTTCAATTTTATAATCTCTATACATGACCCTGGTGATGAAAAGTCAGAATCAGTCAAAAAACCTAAACCGGAAAACTGTGCTCATTGTGAAAATTTTTTCTGATATTTCTTATATCAAATGGCAACCATCTTGTTTTTCCCCCTTCATATTAAACTGGTGGGAAATTCAAAAATTTGAAAAAATTTTAATCCTTAAATATATTTCAAAAATATGATTTTCTTTTTAATTTTTCATGGGTCTTAAGTTATTTCTTCTTTGTATGTCAAACATGTTGCCATTGGTGTTTTTTTCTATGATAATGACTTTTTTGTTGTTGTTAAGATGTACTTATTCTGACTCTCAGCAGGGGGTTCATTATGTATCAAAACTCGTGAAAAAGTAAATATACTTATCAAATATAACTAGGACAGAAATAAAAACCATATTTCACATACATTTGACTGAGGGACCAAAAGGGCATATACCCGGACACATCCTTTTCATGCTGCTGCTTATTTTACTTGGTTCTCCTGTTGAGCAAGTCAAACAGTGGATAAAGAGGATGTGATTTTTACACTAGGTCATTGTCTAGTAAACTTTACAAAACAGTCTTATACTACATATACTGTATGTGTTTATTCTACAAGTTAAAAACATATTTGTACAAAATACATGATGATGCATACATCAATAGTAATTTATCTTTTCTTCGTACAACGTCACCTCTTCATAAAAATTCAATCTTGGTTCAATTTTATAATTAAGTGAACGGTCTTTAGGTATGAAAGTTGAGTTCAGATAGAGCCTCCTTTAATTTTTTGTGATTTTTTTCATGATTTTTTTACTAATGAATCGTTGGAATGATTGTTTAGGTCTTGCCCTTTTATATCCTTACATTCATGAGTATGTACAATGAGACCATGTAAGCATCCACCAATTTGAATAAATAGGTCTTGCCATACAAGGTAAAGTCTTGTGTTTGCTAACAAAGATCAAGTCCATAGGATATTCCTTCATCCTTTCTCCCTCCCTTGGGCTATTCCTTCATCTCTCCTTCCTCCTCCTCATCTACACCTCGGATATACAAAACGTTGTTACACCTGGAAATAAAATTTATGCATTGATTATATAGCTCTCCGATGGAATCATTTATTGGGTTTTTGTGTCCTTTGTTTCATCATAGGGCCCTCATAAATTGACTCAGTGCATACTTTTCAATGTTCAAAATAAAAACTTACTTTTCATCCAAAAACAGCTCAAATTGGACCACACTGGAGTTTAAAATAAATCATCAAAAACATTTTTGATCTGTCAAGTTTTTTTGCGATGTCAAATGAAAAATGGTGATGATATTCATATTACGTCAGTCAGAAATCATATTGGAAAATTGTAATATATTATTACCTGATAAGCACTTCCCCAAGGTTTCCTGACAAAGCTCCATCAATGTATTCTTCTGTGTTGGCCAACTGAAACAAAACAAGAACACTTTTGATATACATGTACAGCAAAACTTGTAAAGTGGAACACTTCTATATGTGGAACACATTTGGAAGTGACAAAACCTTTGCAAGTGGAACACTTTTTTGAGATTCTAAAGCTGTACCACTTACACAGTTTTATTTTGCTTATTATATATATAAAAAAATAAATACATGTAGCAAATATAGAAAATTGCTGTTTTAATTGCTTAAATCATACATATGGGTAATGTAAGATTGCATTTTCATATTCAAGAATTACGTTTCAAATGAATATTGCAACTCATATCAATGATGATATTATACATTGCCTATTGGAAAACACTGCCTGCTGATATAAATCAAACTGATCAAGTCTAGATTGGAGTCTGTGCTAACAGCTAACACTAACATACTAGAAGTACATAGGCGTAGCCAGTGGGGTGCGATGGGTGCGATCGCACCCCCCCCCATATCCAACAAAAATAACATCATGAGAAAGAAGAAGAAAATAGCTTTAAAAATGCTTTTTATTTGAAGCTTCTAGCTCAATTTTGAAGAAAGTTGCATCATTTTTTGTAAAATTCAAAATAAATCTTATTTTTTGGCTGAGTGTGCATTGCAATTCATCATATACAGGATTTGATGGTAACATGATGTTTTACAAGAAATGAATAGTCAATCCTGGCACAAGACAACAATGAAACTATGAAAACATGAGATGTTGCCCTACCTGTAAGTTCATATAACCATCTACTGAGACTAGGTATCCTTTGTATTCCATGCCCCACTTGAGTTTCACCATAACTGGTCTTCCTGTAAGTCCATTCAGGAATGGCTTGGGGTTCATAGGCAGAGTCTGAAATATATTCATATACAGATAAATTGTCATTCTCCACTGCCAAGAGTTTGTCTTCCAGTGTTATTTCTGTGGCCAGTAAAATAAAATGTTAGATTTTTAAAAAGGTTACCGGTACAATGATGAACAAACAAACTGTCCAAAGATAGAAAACAAAAGTGATTCTGTAAAAAGCAGAACATGAACATGTATAGTTAAACAGTAAATATAAATATAATTCAAATAGAATATAAATTTGGAATAGTAAAGACAGCTCTATGGTCTCAACTCATCTAATAAGAGACCTGGATATCACTTCAGTAAGTCTATCATATTCTAAAAAACAAGCAATCAAAAGAGTATGATATATATGGAAATTTACATTCATATTTTAGATACAAGGCTCTCGTATATTTTAGATGAATTAGTTTTATGTGATGTGAACCTGCTCTAATAGGGAGTTACCATTGTAACAATGATGACTTTTTCCGAAAATAATGTGTTGGAGAGGGTACCCCCATAAATGTGGGTTCAGTTTTTATTAGATTTTCGTCAAAAATAAGAAAAATGCACCCAAATTCATGGGGCAGAGATTGGCCACTCATTTTTTACCCAAACCACAATCGATCCAAAACAAACAAACGTTTTGCATTTAAATATGAATTTCTTTCTTTATATAAGCTGTGAGGTTCCATATCCATATAGCCTTTATAGTCCATTTAAAAATCTGTGATCTTGTTTTTAATAACACCATAGTTGGCTTTTAGGGTACCAAGTATACCATCATTTGGTATCAAAATAAAGATGAGGAGTTCAACTTTCATTTGAGCTACGAAAATAGCGATGTAGGTCAAAATAGTTCTAACATGAGCATGTTTACTATGCAGGGGTTTCATTAGCAGCAGGCAACAGGCGATTTTCACCAGTTGTTTTCTCAAAATCGCCTATTATATTTAAGGTCTTTTCAAATTTTCCATGTTTAATTCATAATTTCCACTAATTTTTCCTGTTTTTCATTTATTTAGGCGGTTGTGAAAAATTCTAGTGAAACCCATGCTTTACTATATTTGCACATAGCCATCTTTGAGACAGTGTAATTGACGAAAAATGTTGAAGAGATGATAATTTTCAAGATGGCTTCTCAGGAAGTTGGGTAACGTGCATGTGCTTCCATGCCATGAGTTTTTTGCTTCCGGTTACACGCATGCGCATTGGCAAGATTTCCTGGTCAGACGACATGGAAAATAACAAGTTCCAAATACATTTTTCAGTGTTTTCAGTAGGTTTGTCCAAGATTGCGTCCCTGGGATGTAACGATTTTCAAAAAATGCGTCTCCCCTCAAAAAAACTGCGTCCCTTGAAAAAATGTGTCCGGGAATTCAAAGTCACGCTTTTACACTAACCAAAATAAAATTTATGAACTTTTGTATCGCTTTAGTATTCATCGGTCTAAATCAGTGTTCTGACAAGTCTAGTATATCATTGAATGATACAGATACCATCACTTGTGAGGTATAACTTATATTCAACCATGAGAAACATATTTTCTTTGCGTATTTCGAAGCAATTAGGGACTGATTTTGCTTTAGTTTAGGGGCAATCTGCGCGAGGTTAAATTTTTTGGTTCAGTTTCTTGCGCATGCGCATTCTTAAATAATGATCTTGTGATCGCACTTGACCAATAGAAAATGGTTTAAATCGGGTCCTCAGCTAGTGGCCAATCGTAAGACTCATACTGATTACTGCTCGGATATCGAGTATTGGATAACTATTTGTCCTATCACATGCCTCATACTATTTCGATCAAAAATCAAATTCCGGGAAGGAAACTTCGAAAATCTTTTAGAAATAGAATTTTCTTCCAATTATTTAGTGGATTCTGACGAAATAAAGAGAATGAAGGTAAATGGATTCACGAAGTGATTTACGAAATTCAAATTGCGTCCCAAAAACGTTATTATTTTTTAATTTAAGCCCACCCAATCTTGATTTACGTCCTCTCCATTGAAGGACGCCGTTAATGAAACCTCAGATTTTTCCTCAATTACACTGTCTCCAGACTCCAGTTAGCGTTCTACGATTATTACAACGATACTTTACAATGTTATACATCGATTGAAGAAGTGTAAGTGTTCCCACGATTTCTAACATTTCTGTAAAAGACCTTTAACATTGGCTGGGAATATCGAGTTTTGCAAAGCTATCTCTCGGGAGATAGCTTTGTGCAAACTAAGTAACCCATGCTATGCGTGTGCCCATCTCAGAATTTTTTTTTTTTTTAATCATCTTTATTATATTCCATAAAATACAGATGTACAAAACTTAAACAATTGCCAAAGTCTAGTGACATTGACGGCAATCTCAGAATTGAGCAAATGGTAGCAAATGTTACACTAAATGGATGCTGATATCTCAAAAAGTAACCTGACTTGCCATAATTAGATGTAGATCAATCGAACGCATAATGAACAGTTACATTTTGATATGTAACACTTTGGGGGTAAGAGTTTCATAGTTGGTCACGAACGCGGAACGCCATATGTGCAAAGTATTGTTCAGAATTTTCGAATTTTGTTGGATTGCAGTACTCACACCATAATAGATCAATTGCGATGTGGTCCTTTGATTCCTGATTTTGGTTTGATGATGGGTTTTCTACTTGATAGCCAATGGTTTGATCATGGACAAAATAGTGCAAGATTTCAAACTAAAATTTTAAATTTCATATTCATTTATTTAACTTAACTAATCGTCATGCACATAGTATACTTAGAAATACATTGATACAAACCATAAGTAACAATCGCATGTAATAAGCTAGACGTGGATCCACGGCTCTAGTGACTTATTTGACTATCGGAGTTTTGATAGGGTCACTAGAGCCGTGGATGCACCTGTATTAAAATCCTCAAACTTCAGAAAAATAAATTTTTTTGAACCCAGCGCTACTTTGGAGTTGATTTCTTTTGATTCCCATTTGTTTTTTTTAAATATATTTGTCCCAATGTAATGTTATATGATAAATTGTTAAACTTACCATACATAAGTTGTTATGCACGATGTAATTGCGCTGATACTATAGGAAAATCATCACTTTTTAAATTATTTCAAAATTTTCTATGGCGGCACGAGACTTCGCGAGAAGAGATAGGTAATTCCCTAATGTATACGATGCCATCTATTATACTACATAAAGTTCATATCAATCAGACTGCATAGTAAGCAATATTCAACAGTGAATCCCCGGGAGTGAATCACACATGTTGAAGTTTAATTAAGGAATTCTCATTATAGACAGTGACTTTTATTATAGTTTCTAGTTTTAATAAGGAATATCAAACAGAGATAGTGACTCTTAATTGTTTAGACCATATGCAGATTCATTTAGTCACGTGACTTGTGACATCACGCATGCGCATAAATTATGTAGGTCAACTCAATTTTGAGAATTCGTTCGAATTTCTCTAACCTGAAAAATACAAAGACACTTCTTGATATAATTTCCACGAGAAACATGATTACAACTAGGGTCAATTTGAAGACAAACAACGTCGCTACATAGTGGTCCAAAAAATTTAAAGATTAAGGTAAGGAGCTCCGAGAAAAAGCAAAAACAACCGATCTGTTGTTTTTCAGAATCTCAACTTGCCTAGGGTTTTTAATGCTTGGTGATGCGCCTCTGGGGCCATGACAAATCTCAGATATATATATAAAGGCCCAGAGGCGCATGAATGCACCTAGTAATAAGCTAATACAATTCTATTTGAATAGTCTAAACAAAACATTTTATATCGGGCGATAATAGGGGAATTTGAAAAAATTCAAATCTTCAATCTCATATTTGAACATCATTTACCTATCCAATTGCATTAAAGATTGGTCAGAATATTCATTGGATATTGTTGTTTAACTAAATAAATTCATTCTTTGTTACACTTGAGCCATTAACATGAAATTTACTTACGATAGACATTGTGTTTGTTAGCGGTCTGTCACGCTGGTATATCGTATTTGAGCATGCGCATGAATCGACTTCCGGAAAATAGAAAAAAGAAAGTTGTAAAAGTTACACTATTTTGCTTTATTTTGCAACCTATACAATACGTATTAACAACTATGTTCCACAGTTGATGATGGGGGTAGTTTGGTAAGTGTCACATGCAATATCCTAAAGTGAAAACTCTAATTTGTCTGAAATTATAATCTTTAAAAATTTGACATTTTTTTCACATGCTATCTAGCCTATTGCAAGACTTATGGTAGGGTCTCCACATGCTATTGCAAGACTTGTGCCTGGCACAACCGTCACCATGTTATTTAGTGTTTTTAAGTTTCGAAAGGATCCTGCCATGACCGTGGTATTGTTATCATGAAAGCCTGGTATAACCGTGACAATGCTATATTATATTTCAGTGTGATATCATACCCAATGCCAGATGGCAAGAGTGGTCAACAAGTTGTTAACAACCTGCAGGAGAGAGTCGAAATGCTCGGGGCAGCCAAAACGGGAACATTCAGTGTAGATTGTGAGACATATCATGCTACAGCAACTGGTAAGATCACTCACGATCTGTATGTATTTGATATAGTGTAATGACCCTGGATAACAAGTTTCTACTACAGCTCAGCTACAGCTTTGGCAACCCCGGTCATTACAATATAATAGAGTAGTATGGTTAATCAAGAAAAGTTAGTACAACACAAAATAGATAGACTACAGTAAAATTTTAAATGTTAGGAACTACTTTGAATTTAAAAATAAGCAATCAAATGACTATATTGCAACAGTATATAAAAATAGAAACATATGTACTTGCCCTAACTTTTGTATATTTCAGATATTTATGTATAATGTGCAGTAAAGCTGTGGCCTTCTGTAATTTAGGGAGTTTCAGCAATGTTAATTTTTCCGAAAATAACATGGCAGAGAAGCATCAAAATAAAAGAGGGCACAGATATGATAGCTAAACTACAAAACAAAACAAAATATACAAAAGTTAGGACATGTATAAATGTTTCTATTTTTACATATACTGTTTCAATATGGTCCTTTGATTGCTTATTTTTTAAATTCAAAGGAGTTCCAAACATTTAAAATTTTACTGTAATGTTACAGAATGGTTGAAATCAGTCGAAACAGAATTATTGGAACAATGAATTGTAAATTTGTATCCTTATATATTTCTCTTATACTTCATTGCCACTGTGTTACTTGTTCTGGTGAAAATTTGGAGATTTGCATTTTTAGGTGCTAACAGAATGGTACACGTGCTTCACAACTCGCAGCAGCCAGCTTCCTGTTTCGCTATAGTAGACACTGGAACGTGCCTTGTTGCTGACAACCTCTTCGATCTCATCATGTTGAAACTCAAAAGTTATTACGCTAGTCGTAAGAATTCCAAAGTTGAGTCTAAAGGCCAGCGTTATGAACTGCAGGACTTTGCGATTAAAATAGGATCCGTTACTATTGGTCAGACGATGCATTTTAAAGGAATCTTAGTAGAGGTATGTTTTGTATGTTTCGTCGTTTTATTTAGCGCCACTAAGCACCAGTATGACTCAATAAAAATATTGCCTCAAATCTGATCTAAACACAGTCCTTTTAAAACATTTCTTTTTAAAGGAATCTTAGTAGAGGTATGTATTGTATGTTTCGTGATTTTATTTAGTGCCACTTTTGACGCCACTAAGCACCAGTATGACTCAATAAAAATTTTGACCCCAAATCTGATTTCAACACATTCATATGTTAAAACATTTCCTAATTTGAGAACATTTATTGATGGAAAAGAGAACAGACTTTGATAGATGTCTCTTCAGTCGTTCAATTCTCATTTGTAAACAAAAAAGTAGTGCTGTATTAATGGACATATTACGTGAAATTCAAAATGACCACAAAGTATACCAGCTTATTTTATGCATATGAATTTTAAGCAGAGAATGGTTTAATGAGGCACAAATTATAAGCAAAGACAAGAAATCTAAGTTGAGTATTTCATCTTTATTTCATGTAAATAAATAATAATTAATGCCTTTCCCCTGATCCATTTTTTGCTAGCCTTGAAAAATGTGTTAATATGTTAAAGTAAAGACATAAAAAAACTTAAACTATTTTTGTTCCAGGTTGAATACCTTCCATGCATGGTACCTGGTGAATGTTGGCATTTGATGCATGAATTCATGGAGGGCTTTATGGGAATAAAGATTGACAATCCACCAAGCTATTTAAAGAGCAAATTTGACAGTGTATACACCCCTTCAGACACTGTACAACAATATTTAGAGTATTTTAACATTGCCAGAAAAGCTGTGGCTAGCACTGTAGCTGTAGCTACCAGCGCTGCAAGGTGATGACGGTTATAAGTGATTAATTTCATAACAAGTGATTAATATGACAAATGATTAATGTCATAAAAGTGATACAATAATGCCATTGTATACAGGCTCAGCAGCAGTGTTTTTTATTGGATTAACACCCCAGGGATTAACACTAAGGATAATCTGTAATATGAATAGAATGTAGGATTTTGGCAGCTGTATTTATTATATATGTACATCGGGAGGATTCTCATCAGCTGTCTCCAGAAAAATTGCATCTCATCCTTTCATTTATTGTTGCATTTTTTGGAATTGATTGCCACTCCCATGTACAGATATGCCTGAGTTAGTTTCAAATACTGATGATTATCGTCAAGGTCAAAATTAGGACTTCTTTAAGGTAGGTGACATTCTATTCTTTCTTTGGATGAAGTTCATATTGATAGACTATGGGGTCTCCATTCAAATTGGAGAGAACCTTGTTGAAATACAAAATACATGTTTAAGAAACGTATTTGACACCTGTAATAGATTGGACAATTTACTAATTATAGACATGTATAATATATATACCAGGAAATGATTATGATAAAAATTTAGCAATTACCTTCTGATAAATGTTTGGAATACAGAGTGTACAAAACAGAGAATTCCAAAAATATAAAGTACACCTGTTATTAGCAGATTCAACCAAAAACAGGTCTAGGGAAGGTTATTTTGATAATTTTGAAATATACCTGCACAAAAAATTAACAAAATAAATATTGTGTAGTACTGCGCATAAATACTAGAATTTGGGATAATTTGACATTTAATATGGCAAATTTTCAGATTATTGATGCCAGGTTTGGGCTAAGTTCAGTTTCTATATCTTAAAATAAAAATTGGCTCAAGTTACTGTACACTGTAAAAAGGCCCAGTTTTCTAAAACCATGAGCATTAGTGCACATGTACTTGGAGGTGTAAATTAATTATTGTGGATAGTGCATAGCACCATCTTTTAATAAAGATAAGGCCAAAGGTCATGAATAAATGTATTTTTTGTTATGTTTTTACCATTTATTCCTTGAACTTTTCACCATAAATTTTTAGAGCCTAAAATCAATTATTTTCATCAAAATATTTAAGCCCATTGACATTATTTTACGACAAATTTCTATATACTACCCATCTGCTATATTATTAAGGAACAAAGAGAAAGAATAATCTGGCTAAATACCAAGATACATTGAAACATATGTACACATCTATATGGACTTTCATACTGCCAAAAGTCCTCATATATGGGCCACCTTAACTCAGTTTCCCCCTTTGGTGCAAGTGTTGATTGAATTTATCAAGAAAGACAAGAAATCGATAAATTTAGTTTGTGGCAAAACCGTTCCTTTTATGACAATTCCAGGAAAATTTATTCTGTGTTAAATAATTCATCAATATCGTGTCATTATCCGCAGCCAGGTTAGTACAAAAGAGCAATGTATTACAACTACTGTTAGGTAATAAATAGTAACTTGATCATCTGTCATCAGCATTACCTTGGCATTACTGCATTGTATCCTCATCACAGTTGCCATGACACAATCATAACAAATGATATATGTACTATATACATGTAGGGATGAATATCGTATTAGGCCAGGGAGGATATGATATTTTCCAGAGAGTATCAATAATGACACTAAAAATTTATAGATGTATTGCGATGAAAATTTAAATTGATTGATGCGATACCAGTTATGTTATTATCTGGCTTTAAGATTTGCTTTATTTGAATCTGCAAATAACATGGGAAGGTTTAGCAAAACACATGAACTTAAACTGCTTCCCTATATCCCTTTCATAAAGCTGTTCGATATTAAAAATCCAAAATCAAGATGACTAAACAGAGATTAGGAGCTCTTCATCATATGTATTTCAAGAGGTATCCAGTACCATTTACTATTATTTGGTGTTTTAAATGGATTAATAGAAAATGTTGAGTTAGAAAGTCAATGTGTGGGATAAGGAGATGAGTATCACACAAAGGGAGATATAATTATGTCATGTCACATTGGCCAATTAGATTGCGAGAAACAATGTCATTGAACCATTAAAATTAATGATCTTGATCAAAGAAATAAGTGGGTGAACGTCAGGGCCGTTGTTAAGGTTGTTCCATACTTCGCAATAAAGTCTGAAAACAAAAAAGTGGGGATATGTCATTACAACATTTAATCACAACATTTTTATTTTCAACAATATATTCTACCATACTTTGAAAATATCCACATGTAAATAATACCTATTGAATGAATAAATGGTAATTTTGTCATCAAGAAAATTACATAAAATTGAATTAATAAATCTGTTGTTACGAGCCTGCCTGTAGCCTTGTAGTACTAAGCTGTGGCCTTGGTAACCTTGTATGTCACTGAAACTCAACATAGATGTACTCACTGTACTAAGATTGCACTGACGGTGCTTTATTTGTACTCTAAAATAACCATTGTGCACTAACAGCCAATACTAACTGCACTAGTAGAACTTAACAGTGTATGAATCATATCAATTCTGTACTCCTGGGGAGGGCTCGTTATATTTGTATATTATTTATTCATTTGATAGCCATATTAGAATTAACACTCATAAAAAAGGTTATTTAATGAAAACATTTATTACAATTTTTGATTTTAGGTAAAAATATTTAGGATTATTAATTTATTATTGATTATAACGGAAAAACCTTTTAGAACCAAATCTGGGTTATTTTTCCTAATAATCTGCTATCAAATATTTTCATAATACCTTTAGAGCTCATAAGTGTATTTCGCCTTTCATATTTATTTATTAAAATTAATTATTAACATATTTGTAGGGCCCAATCAATAATTACACTGTTAAAGGGACATGTTTGATATAATTACCAGGGACTCCATTGCATTTCATGTTTTGTAAAATGTTTGTCAAGTGTTTTTAGACAATAAATGGGGAAACTAAGACTGTTGCAGTGGCTTATTCAAAAAACTATGATGTGTGCGGTGTGTCATTGACCAAGATGACGTAGTAGTAGGTGTAATGAGTGAAATTATCTGAATACCTGGCTAATTCGAACACCTCCCAATCTGAACACTCTTTTTCGGTCCCCTTTTTTCCTCCCATTGACTCCCATGTTTAAAAAATACTTGAAATGTGAACACCTCTCAATTTGAACAGTGAACAGTCATATTTGAAAAATGAATCCGGAATCTCGCAAAAGACGCGAATGCAAAAACCTCGAAATGTGAACACCTCCTAATCTGAACCCTTTAAGCTGGTCCCAATGGCATTCGGATTAGACAGGTCTTACTGTATAATGTTTCTCTTACATTTACAATTTCCAATTATCTGAAAAAAGGTTCATATACAAGTATGGATAAAAATGATTTATGATGCAAAAATGTCATCATTCATTAGAATTAAATGAATGTCTTTGTTGCTCCTTTAATTGAATGGAATCCCTACACCCCCAAAATGCAATCTGATTTTCAATGCACGGCACCAAATGGACTGACTAGTCCGGTGGCAAATTTTGGTGTCAAAAGGTTTGGGTGCCGGAATAGTGTAGAAACAGTGCCGGAACAGCGCCAAATTTTTTCGATGTTTAAACGGCGCCAAATTATATTGGCTGTGTATACCTAGTAAACAGCCAAGGCCTTTAGTGAATCAACAGGACCTTGGTATAGAAATAGTCCATGAATGTTTTAGCAACCTTGTACATGTACTTATAGCAACCTTGGGTGGGCTGGCAAATTGTCCTTCATTCATTATGCTGTCAGACTGAAGGTTATAAATAATTTATTTATTTGTCGTTTCATTCACTACGTCTGGGTCACTGGAATAAGTGCACTTCCTCAGGTAATTACATTGAATAATCAGACATATGCGTACACACACAGCTCACTGCACTAATCAAAATGTAACTTCCCAAGTGATGATTTTTCCTCGACAAGACCACTTTGAGCATAGCGAGTCATGATGTAGATGACCCAATCATTCATCAGATTTTTGTCAATGTGCTGTAGACTTCAAACCGTGAAAGTGAATTCTAATGATAGTACATGTATATTTTGACTTTATAATGAACTTTTCTTGAATTTTAAAACTTAAATGCCTTTTCTAATTTTAGATCTAGAAGTATCTTCTGACATGACAATTTCCCGTATACAAGGCATTAACATGCAAAATGTCACCACCTGCCATTTGTTATAGATGCCATTTCATTCGTTACAAACGCTGACTGCCGTACTCCTAACGCCAACCACTATCCACAAAAAGTTGGAGACTATAACTGTTACAATATATCACCACTTGTGATGTTGACATAAAAACTGAACATGGAATGAGAAATGAATAGTGTACGTCATAACTGACATAAAATGCTTTTATTTAAAACAATCATAACATTTACAACAAATTGTAATACATTGTAGAAAGGTACAGCGTTCAAATCCATATTCATTTTATTGCACTTCTTTTATTGATTATAATAAAAAAAAATATGTTATTCAAAAATTTGTTGTAATTTTTTTTTATAATAATACATGTATAAGAGGAGGGAAACCCCCAGAGCTTAGAAATGACCAACATAATTTCGTCTCTTGCTTTCCACCTTTGTTTATCTGACTTTCACCAGTTATAGTTTTCCAATGTAACATGTCGTTGTGATGTTTTAATCGATATAGGCATATATTCCTTACATCTTTCTTTATCTTGTGAAATGACAAGCTTTTAATTTATATTGGTTAACATGCCAGAAATCAACATATTGTTATCTCAATTCAGACGTACAATATAGACATATGGTATCTCTGTACACTGGGGTTTCCCCCCCCCCCCCGTCTTACAATCATATATCAGTATCTTCATAACAAATATTAACAAATGTCAACTCATTATTATTATGTGTCATCAGTAAATCATTGTACTTTTCTCAAAGAATAAAGACAATAAAGACGGATGCTGCACTTTATGGAAAAATATAAATTGCCAAAAAAGTTATGATTCCAAAATAAAACAACTGCTCTTTGAATTCGATTGAGCTATTTCCGTGGCTATTTCTGAACATTTTTTATAAAACACCATTACAAATTTTCAGACCTAGTGGCACTTTGATTAGACAGGTTTTACTCTATAAACTTTTTTAAAGTTCTCAGTACACTTGAACACATTACAAATATTCCATTTTTTCCTGGGGTTTGCATGGTCAATTATGTTGGCACGAAACTAAGATGTTTTATTCTGGGCCTACAGTATTAAGATTTAAAAGCACAGTCCAAGATTGCAGTATCTTCTACTTTATGTGGTACAGTCACTTTCAGTTTATTGTTTTGCTTCATAGCTTCATTAATGGCCTGCCTAGCATTGTCATTACCTGACCAACATCTCCTAGCAACCTGAAACAACAAACATTGCTATAACCTAACCATCATCTCCAAGTAACATGAAACAATGTAATTTTGGGATTTTGCTTCTTCAAACGTTGAGTAATGCATTTTATATATCATGCATTGGTTCTCGGAATGTATAAGGTATGGCATCTATATTTATACTTTGCAATCATTGGTTTTCAAGAGATACCCATGTTGCAGTAGACCTGTCCAATAAACCCTACCACCTTTTGGTGCATCAAAGAAGCTATGAAAAATTGGCAAGATTGATGGTGTCATTGATTGAAGGAATTTGCCAAAGAATAAACAGACTTAACTTATTTTAATTTTAAAAGAGACATCATCAATCTAGCCAATATATACTGTAGCTTCCTTGATCTATCAAAAAGTGGCAGGGTTTATCAGAAAGGTCTATCGAGATTGAACTGATTCATACATTTGTCAGTTTGATTTGAGATTTCCATTTCGACAGATAAAATATTGTATTCTCTCTCATAAACCCACAGTGTGTCTCCCAAATTCTTCAATAGGAGATATATCAAATGACAAAATCCCTGGGGATTTTTTAGGTGGGCCTAGCACGCTGACATATCTTGCTCTATATTAAATAGAAGTAGTGTCATATCTTACCCCATTTGAGACATCCCAAGCCAGCATTGACTTGGCCCTAGCTGCAGCCTCATCTGAACCATCAAGCACAAGGCCAAACCCTCCATTGATTACCTCTCCCCTAAATCAAATAAATACAATATAATATAAGTGTGGCAGGGCCGTAGCCAGGGGGGGGTTATTCTTTCAAAAAAAGGGGGGGTTATTCTTTCAAAAAAATCATGCAGTTTTTCACCATTTTGAGTACTTCTCAAGTCATTTTAGTCATATGTGGACCAAAATTGTAAAATGTGAACCCCCCCGGAAATTTTTGAAAACTGAACCCCCCTTGAAAAAAACGGGCTACGGGCTACGGGCCTGTATGGTCAAACTATGGAATTTTCAAGTTTGTATACTGTATATGTCTGCTCTTAGCTCTATCTGTGTCATCATCAGTAACTTCAGTAGTACTAGTCACTTTTAATTTGTGTTACTGTAGATTACTGTGAATTTGTTCAGGATAATGTGAATTGACTCATTTATAACCTGACATATGAAGAATCATCTTATACATATACAGTAAAACCTGTCTTAGTGAACACCTGTCCTCCGCACATACTCTACTGACTTCTGTATAGATTACCCACTATGTAGTGAACACCAACCAACACTGAACATTTTTTCTCTGCAAAAAAATATAAACAGGTTTTACTGTATATCATAATGCATTCAATACAATGACTCACCATCCAACCCCTCCACCATTATGTAGGGCTACCCAAGTGGCACCCCTAAAGCTATCCCCAATGCAGTTCTGAACTGCCATGTCGGCACAAAACTGAGAGCCATCATATATGTTAGAGGTCTCCCTGAATGGACTGTCTGTCCCACTGACATCATGGTGGTCCCTGCTTATTACTACTGGGCCCTGAAACATGGAGTGTGAACGTGAAGTGAACGTGAAGCGCCATTTTGTCATGGCTGCCATGGTAACCATAAATTAAAAACAACTTGTACATAAAGTGTGTCCTTTCTAAAATTATTATCCCACCGAACGAAGTTCGAGAGGGATATAGGAAAGCCGTCCGTCCATCCGTTCGTCCGTCTGTTTGTCTGGGCGATAACTCAAATACCGTTTCATGGATTTGATTCAAATTTTATAGGCTTATGCCTTATGGGTGTAGGACCTCTGCTCGAGAAGGAATTTTCAATATGGCCACTGAATTCAAAATGGCCGCCATTTTTTCGTAAAAAATGTAATCTTTAATTACTCAAATACTAGTTTGCGGATTTGGTTCAAATTTTATATGCTGATGCCTAGGGACACAGTAGATATGTTCGAGTAAAAATTTTCAAGATGGCGGCTAGATTTCAAAATGTGGCCATTTTTCGTAAAAAAACTTAATCTTTGATAACTCAAATACCAGTGAACGGATTTGGTTCAAATTGTATATGATGATGCCAAGGGACACAGTAGATCTGTTCGAGTTACAATTTTCAAGATGGCCGCTGAATTTCAAAATGGCGGCCATTTTTCGTAAAAAAACGTAATCTCTGGTAACTCAAATACCAGTGAATGGATTTGGTTCAAATTTTATATGATGATGCCTAGGGACAAAGGAGCTTCGCTCAAGATGGGATTTTCAAAATGGCCACTGAATTTCAAAATGGCAGCCATTTTTCGTCAAAAAAACGTAATCTTTGATAACTCAAATACTGTACCAGTGAACGGATTTGGTTCAAATTTTATATGATAATGCCTAGGGACACAATAGATCTGTTCAAGAAAGAATTTTCAAGATGGCCGCTTGATATTCAAAATGGCGGCCATTTTTCGTAAAAAAGGTAATCTTTGATAACTCAAATACCAGTGAACGGATTTGGCTCAAATTTTATATGATGATGCCTAGGGACAAAGGAGATCTGTTCGAGAAAGAATTTTCAAGATGGCTGCTGAATTTCAAAATGGACGCCATTTTTCGTAAAAAATGTAATCTTTGATAACTCAAATACCAGTGAACAGATTTGGCTCATTTTTTATATGATGATTCCTAGGGACACAGTAGATCTGTTCGAGAACATTTTTTCAAGATGGCAGCTGAATTTCAAAATGGTAGCCATTTTTCATTAGAAAAAACGTAATCTTTGATAAGTCAAATACCAGTGAACAGATTTGGTTCAAATTTTATATGCTGATGCCTAGAAACACAGTAGCTCTGTTCGAGAAAAAAATTTTAAGATGGCGGCTGATCTTCAGAATGGCTGCCATTTTTCATTTTCATTTTCGTAATCTTTGGTAACTCAACTGCCGTTCGGTGAGATTTGCTACTCCGTGGAGTTGCTGTTTTTCTAGTTGTATGGGGCATGTAATTATTGTATGGGATATGTAGTTATTGAAGGGTATCAATGTAACTACTGATTTAAATTATTAATTTTAAATTAATGGGACACCCTGTACAGCACTGTAAACATAGACTTACTTTTAATGCTTTTTCTGCCACTGCTTTATTGAATGCTAGAGCTATAGCTGTTCTACCTTCCTGGTCAGAGTAGAGGATTCTGGCCTGAGACCCCACCACCTAAAAAGGACATGGAATGGAAACCCTGTAATGATGTCATCAAATTTATGTTTTATGACATCATTATTTCCAAGTATTTATGAAACTTCTTTACGTTTTTTATTTGTTTATTCAACCATTGAGTCATAATCGTAATTTTTTTCCCTCGACTGCATCACATTGCGAGAACCTCTCATTCAAGGACAATCTGACCATTGCAATATTTCAAAAGTAATATATTTTAAGACATCTTCATACTAGATCCAGAAATTTGGATCCATTGCCATATCAATTGTTCAAAAATAAGATTCCTGCCAAGGTTTATATACAGTAATTGGCCCAAACTTGACCCTCTCATTCAGGGTAGGGTACATCCAATAGTTTGAGTAATTTGGTCAACAGGGTTAATTCACCATCATATGGCTTCTCATCCTCCGAACACAGGCCTCCAGAACTCGTACCTCCTTCAGAATGAAGGAACTTTGTGGATGATGTCTGGAACCCTGTGTTCAGAGGATGATGGCTTCTCTTCTGTCTATATTCCTCAATTGTATAATCGGAACAAGGCATTAACATGCAAAATATGAGTTGTCAATTGTTACAGACGCTAAATTCAAAACAAACATTATGTCCACCAAAAAGTTGGAGGCTATAACAATATGTCTATATGTCCCCCCCCTACATACCTCCCTCCTGAAGCTTAATTACCTGCATTATCATTAATAGGCTCGGGTTGATGTTTATAAATGTTCTTAAAAAGATGGCAATTATATGCACTACTCTACTGCCATCTTTATATCAGCCTAAAACCTACCATTTGATGTTTCCCTGCCTCCCTGATCCACTTGATGTTGTCATTGTACTGTTGTTTCACATTCTCGGACACTACAAAACAATATTAACCAATCAAAACATGTTATTTATTCAGTGCATGGAGCATGGATTGGACAACGTGGTCAGATTGGTTGACCTGTAGTTGTTCAACAAAATATAACAGGAATGATGAAAATGTCAATTTTTGTCTTGGTATTATATGACAACTCTTCTCTGCTTCTCATTGAGGTTTATGGGCTTTTAATAACATTTTGAAGTGGGTTTTACTTTTTTTAATAAATTACTTCATGCTTTATAATGCCTATAACAATTCACTTGGTGCTTTACAAATAAGTTCAATCACACTTTGAGCTTTATTTTACATAAACTAAAACCTGTCCACAAAACGAAGAAGTGTACATGTTATATAAAATTTTGAAGATGTGTTGTTTTACAGTGTATCTATGAGTACATGTGTAGCATACCACCAGTCTTCACAATGGCCTCACTCACTGTAGCTGCTATTTCATCGGTTCTCTCAAGGTCTTCTGCCTCTCCTGACGTACACACCCATCTACAGTGTAGGCATACAAGAATACAGCAACGAATAGCAAATAACACAGTGTATCTGAACAATGAAAATGTACTCCATTGAGTAAAAACCAACAGAGCATAATTTTTTGGTATCTTGGTTACCGTCATATTTGGCGAGCAATACCTCATTGGTATATTTCGTATCTTACACTCAAAGACAGAACTCGAAAGAGAGTGTGCTAAATTCAACCCCCAGTGCGGGAATCGAACCCAGGACCTTCCGCTCTCAGAGTCAGACGCTCTACCCCTGAGCCATTAAGGCTAGCCACTACAGCTGAGACTGTAGTAGCGACTTACTATCGAAGGTCATTACACTTATAAGAAAAATGGATGATACTGTTATAAGTTCATGAAGAGTAAAACCCTTGAATAGCTGCTTGAATGGGACAAATACCTGTTCTCTAATCACTTGACATCTAAGAACTCACCTAAATGGACCAAATCCAAGGGAAAATATGTCCCCCATGATGTGCTGTACATATGATGGGTAGCGGAATTCTGTGTCTGATGTGGCGCCATCTTTCATTACATCTGCACCTACAATAACATTGTGAGTATAAAATACAAAGTTGTTGACCAGGTAGATAGTCATGCCATACATTCAATGCTGATTAGTTGATAAGAGATGACAGGAAATATTTCTAATTATTAATATAAGAAGTCATTTTGCAGGAAAGAATTCCTAAAAGCAAAACATAATTTCTATTTCTAAATCTCAGTCATATAAGCATGTAAGTATAGCAATTCAAAGTTCTTTCGTAATTAAAAATCAATCCCAAAATAGACAATTTTGTATCGCTGTTTGTACCACTCTACCGAAGTCATTAAATTAATCCAGACTCTAAATTCAGTAGCCATCTTATAAGACCATTGCAGCCTAAGATCATTTCATGCTGTTCCTGCAAGTCTAGTGAACCAGAAAGAAGACAGGCAGACCATAATGCAATTTCAAATATTTATAGTAATGACGAACAAACACACTGTGGATCAACCTGTACTAGATAATCTAGAATGGACCTATCATATTATATATGAAATAGGGAACACTATACCTGCTCTTGATGCTTCAAGGAGGAATGCATTCCCATAGTCCCAGAAATACATGCCCCTCTCTGAGAGTCTGTTAATGGCAGAAACATGGCGGCAGAGACTGAAATATAAATATTTGAAGTTATTCATTATTCTAGATTTCCAGTAGCTTAAGTACAGGATGTTGCTAATTGTATTCCCACATTGTGTTCCCAAGTTATATATGTTCCTCACTGTGCGCCCACATTGTGTTCCTCATTAAGTTCCGACATTGTGTTCCCAGATTATATGTTCCTCACTGTGCATCCACATTTAGTCCCTCACTGTTCCCACATAGTATTCCTAATTGTGTCCCTGATTGTATTCCAACATTGTGTTCCCACATTATATGTTCCTCACTGTGCACCCACATTGTGTACCTCATTAAGTTCCCACATTGTGTTCCCAGATTATATGTTCCTCACTGTGCATCCACATTTAGTCCCTCACTGTTCCCACATAGTATTCCTAATTGTGTCCCTGATTGTATTCCCACATTGTGTCCCCACATCATATGTTCCTCACTGTGCGCCCACATTGTGCTACTCATTAAGTTCCCACATTGTGTTCCCAGATTATATGTTCCTCACTGTGCATCCACATTGAGTCCCTCACTGTTCCCACATAGTATTCCTAATTGTGTCCCTCAATGTATTCCCACATTGTGTTCCCAGATTATATGTTCCTTACTGTGCACCCACATTGGGTCCCTCACTGTTCCCACATAGTATTCCTAATTGTGTCCCTCATTGTATTCCCACATTGTGTTCCCACATTATATGTTCCTCACTGTGCGCCCACATTTTGTTCCCAGATTATATGTTCTCACTTTGCGCCCATATTGTGTTCCTCATTATGTTTCCACATTGAGTCCCTCACTGTTCCCACATAGTATTCCTGATTGTGTTCCTAATTAAGTTCCCACATTGTGTTCCCAAATTATATGTTCCTCACTGTGCGCCCACATTGTGTTCCTTATTATGTTTCCACATTGAGTCCCTCACCGTTCCCACATAGCATTCCTAATTGTGTCCCTGATTGTGTTCCCACATTATATATGTTCCTCACTGTGCGCCCACATTGTGTTCCTCATTAAGTTCCGACATTGTGTTCCCAGATTATATGTTCCTCACTGTGCATCCACATTAAGTCCCTCACTGTTCCCACATAGTATTCCAAATTTTGTCCCTCATTGTATTCCCACATTGTGTTCCCACATTATATGTTCCTCCCTGTGCACCTACATTGTGTTCCTCATTAAGTTCCACCATTGTGTTCCCAGATTATATGTCCCTCACTGTGCGCCTACATTGTGTTCCTCATTAAGTTCCACCATTGTGTTCCTCATTAAGTTCCACCATTGTGTTCCCAGATTATATGTCCCTCACTGTGCGCCTACATTGTGTTCCTCATTAAGTTCCACCATTGTGTTCCCAGATTATATGTCCCTCACTGTGCGCCTACATTGTGTTCCTCATTAAGTTCCACCATTGTGTTCCCAGATTATATGTCCCTCACTGTGCGCCTACATTGTGTTCCTCATTAAGTTCCACCATTGTGTTCCCAGATTATATGTTCCTCACTGTGCGCCCACATTGTGTTCCTCATTAAGTTCCACCATTGTGTTCCCAGATTATATGTCCCTCACTGTGCGCCTACATTGTGTTCCTCATTAAGTTCCACCATTGTGTTCCCAGATTATATGTTCCTCACTGTGCGCCCACATTGTGTTCCTCATTAAGTTCCACCATTGTGTTCCCAGATTATATGTCCCTCACTGTGCGCCTACATTGTGTTCCTCATTAAGTTCCACCATTGTGTTCCCAGATTATATGTTCCTCACTGTGCATCCACATTAAGTCCCTCACTGTTCCCACATAGTATTCCAAATTTTGTCACTCATTGTATTCCCACATTATATGTTCCTCCCTGTGCACCTACATTGTGTTCCTCATTAAGTTCCACCATTGTGTTCCCAGATTATATGTCCCTCACTGTGCGCCCACATTGTGTTCCTTATTATGTTTCCACATTGAGTCCCTCACTGTTCCCACATAGTATTCCTGATTGTGTTCCTAATTAAGTTCCCACATTATATATGTTCCTCACTGTGCACCCACATTGTGTTTCTCATTAAGTTCCCACATTGTGTTCCCAGATTATATGTTCCTCACTGTGCATCCACATTAAGTCCCTCACTGTTCCCACATAGTATTCCAAATTTTGTCCCTCATTGTATTCCCACATTGTGTTCCCACATTGTTCCTCCCTGTGCGCCTACATTGTGTTCCTCATTAAGTTCCACCATTGTGTTCTCAGATTATATGTTCCTCACTGTGCATCCACATTAAGTCCCTCACTGTTCCCACATAGTATTCCAAATTTTGTCCCTCATTGTATTCCCACATTGTGTTCCCACATTATATGTTCCTCCCTGTGCGCCTACATTGTGTTCCTCATTAAGTTCCACCATTGTGTTCCCAAATTATATGTTCCTCACTGTGCATCCACATTAAGTCCCTCACTGTTCCCACATAGTATTCCAAATTTTGTCACTCATTGTATTCCCACATTGTGTTCCCACATTATATGTTCCTCCCTGTGCACCTACATTGTGTACCTCATTAAGTTCCCACATTGTGTTCCCAGATTATATGTTCCTCACTGTGCACCCGCATTGTGTTCCTTATTATGTTTCCACATTGAGTCCCTCACTGTTCCCACATAGTATTCCTAATTGTGTCCCTCATTGTATTCCCACATTGTGTTCCCACATTATATGTTCCTCACTGTGCACCCACATTTTGTTCCCAGATTATATGTTCCTCACTGTGCACCCGCATTGTGTTCCTTATTATGTTTCCACATTGAGTCCCTCACTGTTCCCACATAGTATTCCTAATTGTGTCCCTCATTGTATTCCCACGTTGTGTTCCTTCATTTTTAGGATTTCTACAGTGATCTTCTACTTTTTATATAATTAATAATTAACAAGATGTGATTTTTTTGATTTGATAATACAACAAGGTCAGACTTTATTAGTATGGTAATTCAAGTGCCATATTAATGCTGACTTGGATAGAGAGTTAATTTGCAAAGATATTATCCTGGGTCTCAAAACAAAGATACTTAAAATTAAAGCTCTATAGAAAATCACATATGCCATTTGTTATACACAATATCTCTATGTTAAAAGTTTAATTAAATATAATAAACATTAAAGTGGTTGGAACTTTTTTCAGGGCGCAAGGATACATCTAGCCATATTAGTAATTAATTTAATAATACATATCACAGTGAATGAATTAACTGTTGATAATAAGAAGACCTTCAGAACTTTGGCATATCGATATTGATGTATATATGCACATTATATCAATATCTATTTTATTTTATCCCATACTTGGACGGCTGTTACAGGTATATAAGGCATATAAAGCAGGTTTGTAAAACTTATATTTTCATCAGCGGGCAGATAAAGCTCTATGTCCCCCTCCGAGCGGGACAGATATAGTATATCTGCCCACTACGTCATAATCGCCATTCACATATTGGTTAATTTTTGTAAAGTTCTCATGTTGGAAATTTTCTGAACTCTGGCCAATTGAACAATGTGAACCAGATGACCAAGATAGGTATGGGATAAACAGATCATCCTATGTCAGGATATTGCGATTATCCCTTGGCCAATATAATATATCTACCCTCGGGACCATTGGCCAAGGGATAATCTCAATATCCTGAACCTCATATAGGATAATCTCTATATATGTTGACTGTATAATCCAACATGTATGGAGGATATTACTACAACCCAGAGGCTAACCGAAGATGTTTTGAATGCCTGTGCAATACTTCAAAAAAGGAAAATCTATTAACTGGATCAGAAGTGACAATTCTGACTACAGTCAACGCAAAAGTGGAATTATATATCGTAAAAGGGAAATCTGGTCTTAACATATGGAGTGGCAGATTTAAAGGCTGTAAGAACAACTGCGAGAGAGAGCTCAAAAAAGACGTTGAGCTATCTGCTATGTTCACACTTACAAACCATACGTACACGGCTAACCTATCAATATCGTCAACAGACGACTTTTACTTCATCTATGCCAGATCACAAAAATCACAACAAGAAGGGATTTCATTTGCACACATCCATATAAGGCTCTCTCTGAAGAGGACACGCTATGACCTTTTGGATGCAAAAAATGACTGCACCTTATCAACAATACATGATAACACATCCTGATCTACAGACCTTCCCTACAGATCCAGAAAAAATATTCTGTTATCATATGACATTAGTTCTAGTGCACGTAACATTGATGTTATCACCTCATGTATTCCAAGAACATGGGTCTATATTGTATTTTTCCTTGTAGTTCCTCTTGCTATTGGTTCTCTGTTGACAGCAATTATAATTCTTCTATGTAAGGACAATAAGAAACAATGACTCACAAAAAAACAATAGGAAACTTTTATTTTTTGTATTACGCTGCATATCATTTTTGAGTGGTTCTGTTTTTGAGGTCATCTAACCTGTACATGTATATTGCATTTCTGTGTCTACCTGTTCATGACTGGTTTTATCACATATTTAAATTTATCATATGATCTGTAAAATGAAGCCCTCTGATTGGTCATTTCTTGTGCTGTACCAATCTTTATCGTATGATCTGTATAATGAATCCCTCTGATTGGTCAGTTCTTATGCTGTACCAATCTGTATTGCTATTGAGATTGTCCCCGTTGATCATCTCCGTCGCAATACAGAAAATATTGGTACGAAGGGGACAATCTCAGTAGCAATACAGAGGATCACACAATAAAAACGTTATTAAATGATTTGAAGTGCAATACAGGATATATTCTGTCTCAATATTCTGTACTGGCACTCGACTTCGCCTCGTTCCAATACGGAATTTCTAGAGCATAATATATCCTGTATTGCACTTCAAATCATTCAATAACTTATATTATTCCATGATGGTGAAATTCCCTGCAATCTGATTGGTCCATGTGACTTAAATATATCCTGTATTTACACGCACTTTCCACTTAGCATTGAATACAGAGTGAAAATGACATCAGCGTTGGGATACGGTCCAGTATCCCAACGCCCCAGATTTCCATCCAGGATATGACTATTACTGAAAAAATCAATGGCAATCTGTTTACACCAACGCATGCTAATATTTGCATTTTGCTAGAAATATCTGATTTGAATATCAGGAATTGATACGGTGATCACCACAATTTATTATTTTAGGATAAAAAACACTCATCTCTAATTATAAAAAAATCAGTATGAAGCATGCACATTGTTTTCATGAACTAGTAAAAATCCAATATGGCAGACGAAAGTCGAAAAAATGTTTCGTTACACTGTTCCAGCTGATGAAATTGAAGAAAAATGTTGAAGAAAATCAAACGTATCGTATAATACAATAAAAGCAAAACAACAAGGCCGAAAAGATTTTGAAGGAATATCGATGTAAAATATTTTTGAGGTGAGAAGGTTGATCTGTTTCTCCAGTCCCAAGCCAAGGAAATGGACTTGATTTAGGGGAGTTTTATCTGAGTAATCATGGAATAAAAATGTTATTCAATGATTTCTCATGAAATACAGAAAATATTCTTCCCTTGAACGTCTGTATTTCACTCTGCTAGCGCATCGTGAAATACGACCTTCTCGGGAAGAATATTTTCTGTATTTCACTCGAATCATTGAATAACTTATAGTATTATAACAAGCCAAGGTTTTGTTGAGTATGATGCCACATGTGTCAGAAACAATAATATAACTCTTGATATGTCTTATAACTTTTCAAGAGATTCAAAAGATTTGAAATATACTGGTACATGTATACACAACTTATATTAGTAGATTTTATGTCTTTTCTCCAATACTGGAAATATTGAACTCGTCTGTTGTGATTGACATCTTGGAAACTTATATTCAAAATGGCAGCACGCAGTTGGTTTCATTATATTATTCTTAGAACTACCCAATGTGAATGCTCTAGTCATATGGCTAATTTATGCATTACCGATAAGAAGAAATTAATCATGTTGAGTACATGATGTACTACTTGTATTTTACTTGAGGAACCATAAAGGATAGGTATCCATGTTTTTCTCTTAAACCAATTATTGAAAACATTCTGTAAAAAACACGGTCCTTTATGTAATGTTGACTGATTGGCAACAATTTAATGCAAAAATTATTTACGTATATTTTATATACTGTTTTTGTTAAAAAAATTTGTTTTTTAGTGCAATTGTTTTTTGTTCCTTTCTACCAATTCTTGGGAATGAAATAAAATATCTTTCTGAACCTTGTTGGAACAAAATAGCATATACAACATTTCTTAGATCTCTCAATATTATAGCTATACAAAGGAAATTTTGGTTGATTTTACAAAAAGTATGCAAAAACTTAAAACAAACCCCCCCCAAAATATATAAAAATTAAGATAAACCTTTTATTTCATTAACAAAATACTGTTTTAAAATCAACCAAACTTTCCTTTGTACAATTAAAATATTGAGAGACCTGAACACGTTGTGTTTATGTCATTTTGTTCCAATGAGGTTCGGATAGATGTTTCATTTCATTCCGAACATATGATACCAAGAACGAAAGAAGTGTCTGATGTGTTTTCTAAAACAATATAGAGAAAAGTATATATATACATATATATATTTCAAATTATAATGTTACCATCCAAAATATGACAATTAAATTGACAATGTATAAAATTTTCAGAATGTTTTGATGACTGGTTTAAGAGAAACACATGTTCAAAAAGTTCACCATATCGATACCACTCCTTTAATATTAGGAAGTCAATAAGTAACCACAAATGAGTTATGTACTTAAGTTTTGGCACCTTCGGTCTGTCGTAATATAGCGCTCGGTTTCGTGACAGACCACAGGCATATATTCAATGATAGGGACACAACAGCTAAATATTAGACTGTTGGAAATACGGCAGTTACTCTGTGGCTTGGTAAGTAAAAACCTCCTAAGTTTAAAACTACAAGCAACTGACAAATATTAATACTCACCTTTTCGTTATCAATTACTTTAGTTTAAAGTAAGTAAAGTGATAGATGAATAAAGAGCAAGATGACACAGTTTTACAATACTACGTAGTATATAGAACTTTTTTGCTTTCATTATTCCATGTCAAGCCTACTTTCGACAAAATTCTGACTTCATTTCATTACAATTCTTCAATTTCAAAAATCATCTTGCAAATCACTAAAAAGTGGAATCTCTTTTCAATTCTGATAATGAATTTGAACATTCTGCATCACTCATGCCCCCCTCCTTGGATGGGCCCAAAACAAATGTGCCCCAAAAAAGGCCTTAAGGTTCCAAAAAGTGGGCCTTTAGGTCATTACTGGGCCTTTAAGGCCTTATTTTTTAACTATAGGCCAAATTTTGAAGAAAAATGGGCCTCAAACCTTCAAAATTTGGGTCAGTCCACTTATCGGTTTTAGGGGCCCAAATTTTTTATCCGTGCAAGCTTTTTCTCAGGGCAAAAATCTGCCCCCCCTTGTTGGGGTTCCCAGATCCACCCCCTGACACTCCCACCTTCTACTTCAGTTTAGTTAACTTTATCAGAAAACACTTTATTCATGAATCATAAACATGATGTTCAACAATACAATATTAATGTCTTTAACCACTTCAGCTGTCAAAAATTCAAACATAGATTAAGTTTATGTCTTTCACCAACGAAGAATAAAGATACCATAGGTGCTTTTAAAATGTTAAAACTGGAAAATGCAAAATCATACTCGTAAATGCCAAAAAGTGAAAGTTGTCCAGCTGAACCCAAGGTTGCAGAATCATTTGGTGACAGTACACCAATTACACCCATTGAACATGTTGAAACATGTTGATTGATTGCTCTTTATTTATGTTGTTCCAGGCTCTAGTGTGAATTGTCCAAAAAGTGAGTCTGAGCCATTAGGAGAATAAACTGACCATATCCAACATGTGCAAAATAATCAAATGCGTAGCGTGCTGGTTTTTTTTGACAATACCAGGTATATTAGTCTATCCTGGCAGAGTGTGCTTGGTAAAAGCCATGATAAAGTCGCTGATCAATGGTCCAATCAAGAACATACTAAACAATGCTAAGAAAATACCAAAAGCAATATCTTGCCAAGTTGAAAAAATCAAGGAAGTCAAGATGGACAATAAAACTGCAATACTAGATGACTATAAGGAAGCAATGAAAAGGATGATCTCTCTGCCTATTGAGATGTTAGAGACACTTTCTGATGTTCCGAAACAAGCAATTGAAAATATGTTCAGTCAGTTCAATCTTGTCAAAAATATCAGTGACATAAAGATAAATGCAAGTGTTACCCTACATAATGTGACATTTGACTTGAATGATGTTAAGGGCTACACAAATGCTGTTAATGTCTTTGGTAACATTGAAAGGCCAAATATTATGGGAATTGATACTCTTGTTACTATCATTGGTAAAATGAGTGCTATATTTGACACACAAATTGAATTAAGTCTTGCTACATGTATCAATATTGTATTTTATGTATTTATAATCATTCTAGCCATCCTAATTATCATTCAAGGCATTGTTTATTCCTATTACTACATATGCCTTAAAACCAAGATAAATGAGTACCCCAAATTGAAAATGTTTGCCTCGGGGCAAGAGAAAATAAGCTGGTGTGTCTTGGTGCATGATTTTGTTATGAGCACTTTGGGCTTAATCATCATTTTGGTACTCCTGGTGGGAGTTATACAGCTATTAGACAAGCTGGATTCACTTGTTTACCAAGCACTGGAGACAATACGTCAAGAATCTAACATAACATTATCAATCGATGTTGGTAGTGGATTGAATGTGGTCTTCAATGATACAAATCCACACATCAGCAAGTTGTTACATGAACAGGTGCCAATGCTGTTCACCAATGACTCATTCAATTACACAATGGAGATAAATACTGAAAGTTGTATACCCGATCCTTCCCTTCCATCCTATGAGAGCACTGCTGAACGTAACTGTTTATTGGCCACAATCGGATCTATATTTATTCTGACACTTCTGCAACCATGGATTGGAATAATTCCTCATAAAATTGCAAAGAAATTGACAAAGAAGGAGGATAATAAAGAAGCATCAAGAAAGCCTAAAGAGAGTGATGTAAGTGATGAAAGTAAAGCTATGAGAACATCTCCAGGCCCATAGCCAGGGGGGTTTCAGAACCTCTCCCTTGGCCAAAATTTCTTTCAAAATCATGCAGTTTTTCATGACTATTTTTTGAGTGATTTTTTGCCAAATTTGCCAAAGTGACCCCCCCTAGAAATTTTTGGAAAGTGAACCCCCCTTGGAAAATTCTGGCTACGGGCCTGTTTCCTCAAAAGTATGAGCATTTAGATAGTAATGTGTTTTGACTTGAAACAGCGTGAAGATTAGAATATCTAATTTTGCAAAGATTTAACATCAAATGGATTGATTAAGAACATTAAGCTCGGGATTAAGCTTCAAGTCACTATCCATTACACCTTTATTTAGTCATAACTATACCATATAAATATACAACTTGGAAATGACATTTTTTAAATCACCGAACAATTCAAAGTAAAGTAATTTATCATATAAAAAATTGTTCAACTTTTTTTCCCAAGAAGCCAAAGGAGGAGGATAGTAAGAGAGCATCAAGAGTGCCTACCGAGATTGAGGTAAGTAATGAAAGTAAAGCTATGGGAACATCTCATTGTTCATACTTGTGGTTTCCCCAAAGGTATGAACATTTATATAGTAATGTGTTTTGACTTGAAACAGCATGAAGATTAGAATATGTAATTTTGCAAAGATTTATCATCAAATGGATTGATTAAGAACATTAAGCCCGGGATTAAGCTTCAAGTCATTATCCATTACACCTTTAGTCATAACTATACCATATAAATATACAACTTGGAAATGACATTTTTTAAATCACCGAACAATTCAAAGTTAAGTAATTTATAATATATTTGATATATACGAGGGTTGATCATAAAGTTCTCATAATATCTCTCTAATTTCTTTATTTTTCAATATTTTCCTATGAAATTTTCACAGAATGTGCAGCATGGAATGCTTTATTGATCAAGCAAATAATATTTAAAATAACAGAAACATTAAATAAGAAATAGTTGCCATAGTAACTTGAAATCAAGGCACCCGGGGCAAATAAAAAAAACTAGCTAGAATAGCCCCCATTAACCATGTTTAAACACATAATAAGTCGTCAAAAAAGCTATCAAACACATTAAATTGTCAAATAATATGGGCTCTTGACTGTTGTGGACTATTATAATGGTCATGTGAATTGTGTGATCTCATAATGGATGATTGTTATGCTTCATTAGAAGTTACTGTTAGACCCAATGACTGTTTTGTCAAATATCCTGAGGAAAATTGATTTTGCCCCTTTAGTTCATTTTAAACAAGTACAGACCACACACAGGGTGTAATTTTGTTGATATCTTAGCAATATATTTGTTTTAGATCATGTTTAGGCTGACCAAAGGATCTTACAAACTTAACATAACATTTTATCAGTATGAATTTTATTTTTCTGAAGATCTGCATCTATTGCATTCTCTTACTCAGTCATTTCTGATCATTAGCTTTGAGTCTTCGACTCTGGTATCACATCTAATGGAGCATGAAAGCACCTCCTATGACATCACACAATTTACATGATCGATTTATTCAATTCTTAAAGCACTTTACGACATATTCAAGTCAACATTTTAATGTGTTTGGTAACTCATGAGAGTTTATTATGTATGTAAACACGGTTGATTAAGCTCATTCTCTCAATTATTTTTATTTGCCCCGGTTGCCTTGATTTCCTGTTACTATAGCAACCATTTCTTATTTAATATTTCTGTTAAACTAAATATTCTTTGCTGAATTAATAAGACATTCCATGCTGCACATTCTGTGAAAATTTCATTAGAATATATTGAAAAATCAAGAAATAAGAGAGATATTATGAGAACTTTATGATCGACCCTCGTATATATATATCAGCTATTAAGAATTATTAGCATTTGAAGGTTTTGCAGCCCTTAGTAAAGGTACAAGGCGATGAGCAAAAAGAGAGAAGAAAATCTGCTGAGACACCTGTATGAGGGAAAGATGGAAGATAGACAACTAGCTGAAGAAAAGGGTATGCTTCAGTTTTGTTAACTAGTCGCTGGAAGGTGTTACCAAATATTTGCCTGACATTTTTGGGGTTTGCTAAATCATTTTGAATGACAAGATAAGTCTATCATTAAGTCTTTCTTTGTCATTATTAACAAATGACATGTAATTTATATTTTACACAAACTTGTAATAAGTCTTTAATATAGTAGTATTAATACTTCTTTCTGGAGTCAAATAACTAAAACAAGGCAAAATGCAAATGTCACCACCTGCCTGCCATATGTTACAGACGCTGAACTCCGAACACTAAACACTGTATACAAAAAGGTTGGAGACCATAACAATATGTCGCCACTTGTGGCGGTGACATAATAATAATCATTAACAAAAACATAATAAATATTTTACCTTTCTTGCACTAGGTTTTTGAAGTGTGTAGGGTCTTTGTGCATGAGTTCTCTGGCCTCATCATACGTCACTTGTACGGGGTAGTAGCCCCCTAGGAATGGGTTATGACAAGATGTTTGATCTGAGCCAAGATCAACAAGCAAGTCCCCTGTTTTGTCATATTCATCTGCTAGCTTTTCCCTGAAATCATACATTCATCAAATGGATCATCTTGCTTTATAAAAAGTGTTGTATAATTTATATATGACGTACATGTATATACTTTATCTTTTGTTGACTATCTTGTAAATAACCTAGAAATATCAATTACATGATAAGATTCAATATGATTCAATAAAATACAATACAATACAATGCAATACTGTAACAATACAATATAATAAAATACAATATAGTATGAAATATCAATGAGAAGGAATGTATCATGTACGAATGTATCTTTTTCATAATAATTATATCATATGAGTAGTACAGAACTGTAGAATATATGATGTAAATAAAATATTATAATATGTAAAACAGAATTTAATTATCATGTACTCAAATTATGATATAAGAATATATTACGAATTCATCTGCTTAATTGTTCGTTAATTTGTTTACATATAATGTCAAAGAGATAAGCATATCTAAGATGAAGCTACTAAAAGGTAAAACTTAATCAGTTCATATCAATACCACGAAAGCTATACTATGTTAACTAGACAACAGCAATGCCAAAGCGTAGCAAATCCCATCGAACAGCCATGGCTGGTATTTTTACAAACAAAGTATATAGCAAAAATGGCAGAAAAATGGCCACTTTCTACCAAAAGTGTCATGAGACAGTGTGCCATGCTTATAGTATTCACATACCAAATATGAACAAAATCGCTCCACTACTTTTCCAGTTATAGTAAAATACGTTAAAATGATGGCCATTTTGAAAAATGGCTGCCTTCTACCAAAAGTGTCATTAGACAGTGTGCCATGCTTATAGTATTCACATACCAAATATGAACAAAATCGATCCACTACTTTTTGAGTTACAGCAAAAATCGTAAAATAACGAGTAAAGGCCGCCATTTTTCAAGATGGCTGCCATGTGCTTCTTTAATATCTACATTTCTAGCTTTATTAATGTCCTATATAATTTTTTTACATTTAAAACATATTGCTATTACAGTTTTACATATTGCACCTAAATTACTGTAAAATGGCCGGCTTTTTTAAATGAGTGGCCATTTTGAAAATCGCCTTTCGAGCAGAACTTCTATCCCCATAGGGTATATGTATACAAAATATGAACAAAATCGGGCCAACGGTATTTGAGTAATTGCCCGGAGGTACGTACAGACGTACGTACAGACGACGTACGGACATACGGATGGATGGACGTGCCTATATCCCTCCGAACTTCGTTCGATGGGATAATTATACATACTTACCATAAATCGACAACATTACCGTGGTAACCAAGACTCAGAACTGTTCCATGTTTTTTAGCTTGTTTTATTCTGGCAACACATTTGTCAAGATTGTCTGTCATTTCCATTAACCAGCCTTGCTTGTGACGCTTCTCAATAGCCTCACGACTTATCTGAATTACAAGCAGGGAAATATTTGTATATTTTCTCAGATTGGTGCTACATACTGGGTGACCCAAAAATGCAACTCTCAAATTTTGGAATAGCTTCCTCAATTATGGAGAATCTTCTTGAATTTTGTTGCATAGCATCAAATGGAACATTGTTAAGTGTATTTAGAACTTAGAGATTTAGAGAGGATTGTCTTTATTCAATGCATTTTTTGAATTTCAGTTTTGTTCAGAAATCAGGTAACCATTTTCACTCATTCATTGAATATCTCTTTTAAGTTAATCTTGAAAACTCACCTCTGCAATGACTCCAATACATCCAGCAATTACTGCAGCTTTTGCCTGGGCACCTGACATTCCCCCTAAACCAGCTGTCACAAAAACCTAGAAATGCAAACATAACAGGCATGTTCATGCATTCTTGTTTGCATCGATTTCATACAATTCTGAGACCAAGACATTGTTTTCAGCTTTAGAAATTTCCAAGGCAAGGCAAAAGTCATACTGGTCAGATTTTCTCAAATGAGGGCCATATGCTCTTAATTTTAAAGTTCTTCCCAAAAATTGATTTCAAAATGAAACAGTAAAAAGATTAATTTAAATCCTGTTTGAATTCTGTTCTCTTTATAATTGCATGGTTTTAATTTTAAGATGCAGCGTAAGCTTAAATTTGTTATTGTGAAATAACTTTTAAATAAATGACCCATTGGGATAGAACTAATCACCATATGTTGAAAAAACAGTTTGTTGAAAGCCCCTGCTATGATCTCTCCACATTTCACTATTAAAATGGCATAATAGTGCATGTATAAAATTCTTTCTGCAATCTTTTTAAGATATTTTTCTATGATCTTAGCCTATGTTTCTAATGGTCCAGGTCCAAAGTAAAATGGTATCTGCTTTAATGTTTCTAATGCCTATCATACTGGTAAGTACCAACAGTTACTTAAATTAATTCAATTAAATACTCAAGAGAATTGAATATATTGAAACAATTTAATAAATATAATTTATTTGTAAAAAAGTAAAGTTGAAATCAAATATTCTAACCCTGGGATTCTCACTGACATTTCAGTATAACAATAATTAAAACATTAGTGTCCTGAAGTAAACAACCAAGCCAATGTGCAAACATTGGTTTCAGTGCCAGGTGCAAAAAAGTAAAAAACAAAAACAGTTCCATGGAAACGTAATCACTTCCAAACAAAAAACAACACCTTCATTGAAACAAAAACTGTTAAATAACAAGCCTATCATAATCGACCAATCAGATTTGTCAGAATAAAAACACCAAACAATGGTACTGTAGTATATAAAGACCCTAAAACAAAAATTAACCATAATGTGATTAAACATTAACTCAACACAAACTCAATTTTGCCAATTAATTCAGCTGTTGATATTATTACTGCCAGAAAATTAGCAAGAATTAAGTGAATAGAGAGGACTGTTTTGAGGTATACAAATTGTGCAAGGAAAATATGACAAAAATGTCTACTGAATCAGGAAAAGATGTTGGACAGACCTGCAATGCTGCTTGCAATATATGCCTAGAGGAGTTCAATAATACAAAGGTGAGTGTTTTTTGAAAAGACCAAAAATGCAACAGGTAAATGTTCACAAAATATATCAAGGTATATTGCAGTTGTTTGAAATAAGATTTACTTTATTTGATTAATCTTATTTCCAATGATGACATTTATGCATCTGAATGTTTATTTACTTAAAATCATTCAATTCAATTCAAATGATGACATTAATGCTCAAAACAAGAAATGTCATTTTATTCAAATTTAAATTGTTTTTGGACTTAAGGGTTAATAACCTTAGTCATTGTTGTTTCAATATTCTGGAAGCAGTTTCCAAATGCAATCAAAATAAATGATCTGATAAATAATTGTGACAATAAATATATAAATACAGTATATAATGCAAAAATGATTAAATGTAACTCTTGTTTTTCAGGTGCTACCATGTCTCCATACATTCTGCCTAGGGTGTATAACGGAGCATGCCACAAAAACAACACAAGATGGCAACTTTAACTGCCCAGTTTGTCGCATTCCAACAATTCTTCCACAAGGGGGAGCTGTTAAATTCAACGACAACACCCTGGTGACAACCATAGAGGAAAACATCCCCACTAATCAGGAATCGGTGAACATTTGTCACGTTTGTGATAATGGGCTCACATTGACTGCGAAGTGCATTGAATGTTGTGATTTCTTATGCGAGTCATGTGCGGCAGTGCACTGCATGACCAAATTCACTAAGAGTCATCATGTGGTCATCTTAAACACTGACAAGCCCATCCATACAGCATCAGATGCTAAGAATGACGATGTGTGCAGCAAACATGGTGAGAAGATCCAAGAGTTCTGCGTGACATGCCAGGATGTTGCGTGTAAGAGTTGTGTGGTTGCGGATCACAAGAACCACGATCTATCTACTACAGATGACGCCTACAAGGTCTGCTCAACCTCCATGATGAACGCAATGGTGAAGCTTAACAATAAAATCAAGCATCACGACACAATCGTAACCAATATGGATACAACCCTCCACGATATCCCAAGTGAGAAAAACGCTATGGCTAATTTCATTGTGAACAAAGCTGATAAAGCACACAAGATTATTGACAGATGTATGACTGAGATAGTTGACACTCTCACGGAGCAGTATATCGCAAAACGCAAAGAAGTCGAAAATGTGAAATATGATGCTGAATCTGACCTGTCGAGAATGCTGAGTATCAGTGACTATGTAAAAACAACAATGGCTAATGGTAACAAGCTTTCTATGCTTTCATCACACAAGAATCTCCTTGATGAAATTGAGACTCTGATCAGCAATTCTGTGATACCCGGACCCGATATTCCCGAAAACATATCCATCGATGATAAAATCGCAGCGATCGTGCTGAAGGCATTCACTGGACTGACATTGTCTGAACTTGCCTTGACTGCTCCAGCTGAAACTAAAGAAACTGCATCACAGGTAGACACAACAGAAATCATCGATGACACCCAGAGCAAGGCTACACAGACAAATGGGATTCTGAATATAAAGTGCCCAGTATCTAACTCAGACGCCGTCCCCAGGGACCAAACCACCTCTGGAAAATCTATTCCTGTTATTGGGAGATCTAGATTTAGCTCTGTCGGGAGTCCTGCACTGCAACACTCAACAGTATCCAAGTCCCAGGATCTAACCACAGTCACACTTGGCACATTTCCCCTTGGGGCAATTACATCTGTGATGTCACAATCAAATGGTGTGATGTCATATAATGGATTTGGTGCAATCACAACAACAAGTCAGCGTGACCTCAACTCCCCTTTATCTGCAAAACCCCATGGTCACCCAAATGGTTTCGTAGACCGTCTGACTGCATCATTCACAAAAGCTACCACTAGTTATGTACAGCCACTATCTACTTCAACCATAGAGGCCCCTTCTCAACACAATGACATATCAGAAGGACTCCTCAGTCTCCATACAAAACTCACCAATGGAAACCACGAGTTGAGCTGTAAATATAATGACTCACCTGTTGAGAATTTCAACATATCAATGATTGGACGTCCATCCGAGCCAATAAACCAGAAGGCCTCAGCAAGGGTCTCACCCATAGGAACCCCACCAGACAACACCCCCATTCCAAATACTTTAATGTCGACATCTTATATGAATGCAAATGCAACACAAAGAAATACCTCCCCACTTGATAACTATCAGAATGGACTCTCTAATATGGAAAATACCAATCTTCACATTTTTGGTCACCCCTTCGGGAGCCATAATGGCCAAAGTAATAGGTCATCCCCAATCGACGTCATAGGACAGCCAATAGGAAGCCACAGCAATCTGACATCACCGGCAGTTACTCCAATCAGTGACATGACAGACAATGTCTTCGCTCAAGACTTCCTCGCTAAAACTGCAAAGAAGAAACTTGTGGCTGAGTTCAACTCTCGTATTTCAAGTGACCGTGCAGACAGCTTTCCTACTGGGGTTGCAATAACCCCCGATAACAACATCGCAATAATCGACCAAGAAAATAAGAAAGTGAAAATCTTTACACCTTCAGGTCAAATCAAGTACGTTTACAATGGGAATGCCCCAGGTATGTTCCCACTCCAGAATCCATGCGACATTGGAGTTTTCTCAAGTGGAAATCTGGTAGTCTCTGACAGCGGTGCCGAGTCGATATTAATCTTGAGTAAGGATGCAGGTCGTGTGCTCCATTCTATGCATATCAAAGGTTGCACTGGTGTAGCCGTATCCGATGACGACAAAGTATTTGTTACAACACGTAACCCTAACAACATCCTTGTATTCAAGGATGGAGTCCTCCATCAGAAGATTCATTCTGACGCAGCTGGAATCCCTTACTTCAACTCCCCTCACTATATAACAGCCAGGAACAAGAAAGTCTATGCTTCCGACTTCTTCACCAATGCCCTTATGGGGTTCAATTTATCAAACAGCCTGCCTGTGGTACATTATGGGAGCACACAAGAAGGTGTCCCTGCCAGTTGTATTTTACAATACCCATGCGGTGTACACATCGACCAAGAAGAAAATGTCCACATCGTTGACAAGAGCAACCACCGTGTCCATAAAATCTCCAAAACTGGAGAGTTCCTGGGACACACTCTTACAAGTAATGATGGTATCTACTGGCCAAGAGGCATTGCTCTGATGTCTAATGGTAACACTGTCATCACAGAAGACTTTGGACAAATTAAAATATTTGATTGTTAAATGTTAACAAGGATTATCATATTCAGGCATTGTTTTTGATGTCTTCGTGCCTGTAGTAAATATTATCAACTTATGATATATGTTTTAACAGAGAAATAAGTTATTATGGAAGTTTTACTGAGCAAGTTCATTGCATACAAACCCGAGATACAAACACGAGTTTCTAGCCAAAAGTAAAGTTGTTGTCACATTTCTATGTCTTTTTGAAATTCATCATACTTCACATGACTTGTATTTGTCTTATTCTTTCTTAACCAACTGTGCATATACATGTATCTTGTATGTGAGTTGTAAAGTAGCCAACTGCTATTATCTTGTACTAAATCTTATTGTAATTTAGCCAACTGCACTTAACTCTTACTTGATTCATTGTAATTTAGCCAACTGCATTTAAATCATACTTGACTTATTGTAATTAAGTCAACTGCATTTAACTCATACTTGACTTATTGTAATTTAGCCAACTGCATTTAACTCATACTTGACTCATTGTAATTTAGCCAACTGCATTTAACACGCTCATTGTAATTTAGCCAACTGCATTTGACACGCTCATTGTAATTAAGCCAACTGCATTTAACACGCTCATTGTAATTTAGCCAACTGCATTTAACACGCTCATTGTAATTTAGCCAACTGCATTTAACTCATACGCGACTTATTGTAATCTAGCCAACTGTATTTAGGTAGTCAAGTTTTATATAACTGTAGATTATAGTCATAGTAGCTAGCTTTAAGAGTTTGAAAATAAATTTTTATTAAAAACAAAGAAGTCTTATATTATGTTACAATTTCCTTTCAAATAATGTGAAGTTAAGTCCCCATTCTCCAAAACATAAATCCTAATCCATAACCTGGAGATATAACTAACTCACAATCTTTTTCCAGTAGTATCAGCTGTATAAAGTATCACATATGGCACAAGGGAACAAAACATATTTCCCAGTACAAAGAACTTTTGATTTTCCTTTAGATAAACTGAGACCCTTTGAGCTAAATACTTATCCCATACAAACCACTTGGGTCTTGGTAATTTGTAAAAATCTATATAAGTGAAGGCAAACAGACCAACAAAAACAAAACCATAATTCAAACCCCCATAAACCATCTCAGCATAGAAAGTAAATAATTCACTTACCTTTCCTTGCAAGTTATTTACACCAAGATATTTCCTACCAGCGTTAAGGACAGTCAACTGAAAAGTACCAATTTATTTCATTAATGATTGAATTCATTTCTTTGGAAAGTTATTATAATGTGAACAAATTAGAAAAGATGGAATGAAAACAGTTGAAAAGTTGATGAAAGCAAAATGTTCAAGCTTTTGCAGAAAAACAATTTGTATCATATGTGCACAGAATTATGTGCGCAGAATTATGGATATATGATGTACTATATAAGCACTTATATACAGGATGCTTCATGTCTTAAAGTAATTTTGAGAATATGTAACTCAAATTGTATGCTGAGGAAAATGGGCAACTTTTGAAGAGATGTGTAGCAATTTGTAAAAGCTGAGCTAATCAAAGATGTCCAAAACTGAATATGCTTTAATATGATATATAACATATAGGGGTATATTATCTTAGAATAGCTGTTGACGGGGGATGGTCATTATGGAAAACCCTTTTGAATTTTCCTACTAATTCTACTTATTCCCGTCTATAAAGACATAAAAAAGAAGCTTTTTGTTTTTTTGCAATATTTGAGTTCTTCACATGGACTGATTTTTAGGCTCTTAGATAATAGGGTGACGTGATCTGTGAAAAGTTATATTATTTCATCTTATATCTTCATATACAGGGTGTCAAATAAATATGTTCTCCCCCTTAATTTCATCTCCCCCTTAGAGTGCATCTAGTTGAGCTAGTCATCCGAGTTGCTCAATGAAGCCTAGTTTCAATGTGCTAAAGAACAATTCAGATATCATACAGACAAAAAAAGTTATGCAACATTATGTTGATGATAAAGCTAAGGGGAAGGACATATTTATGTTAAGAGACTCTTAATTACTACTGCAGTACTTACAGTTGTTCCATGTACAATGCCCTGGGGTCCAATATAGCAGTAACTTCCAGCCGTCATTTGACCATACCTGGAATAACATGAACATTTTTGACATTAAAATGTATTCTTGTAACTTATCTCTGCGCCAACTTCCTTTTCTTCATAGATTTAATTGCAAACATTACTGAATTCCAAAATTTTAACAATCAAATGTTTTAATGAATGAACAACTTAGATAATCAAATAAAACAACTTTGGAAAAAACCCATAGGTTCTGGGCCGATATAAAGATGGCAGCACCAACAGAATCCAGTATTATCACTCAACATAGATAAAGACAGATTGATTACCGTGCCATCTTTATTTAAAAATGATTTCTATCGCCCATAGCCTATGGAAAACCCTGTTATGAATGACTTACATGGTGACTCCCAGTGCAAACAATTTTTCATACATCTCTCTAGATGAATAGTTAGGAATCACCTGAAATATTAGCATAACATTTATAAATAAAAATTCAAATATCTCATATAAACCATATACAGGATATCCAAAAATCAAGAGTGAAGAAAAGCTGATTGACTTAGTTCATTTAATGTGAATTCTGTTGTGAAAGTTTGATGATAACATGCCAATGGAGTCAAAAACTACAGTACCTTACAAAACATGCTCTGAGTGGACACCTCTCCTCTCTATATTCATTCGTGCATAGAGAGGAGAGGTGTCCACCTGTAGCATGTCAAAACCTTCACAACAAAATTCACATTGAATGAACTAAATAATCCTGAGATTTCAATGCACACATGGAAGAATGACCATGTTCATCAACTTTTTCTTCAGTCTTGTTTCTTTGGACACCCTGTACAAACCTGATTAGATGTGTCAGGTCACTTAAACCAATACATGAATCTAATTAAATAAAAAATGTCATTTCTGATCATATTTTCACAAGAGCAAAATCATTGATACATAAGTGTGTATTATTTTATTTTACACTAGAAAGGGAATTCGTAGCTTATATAAATACATTACATAATTGTTTGTTGTTCTTCATTAAATTTCTTTTTAAATTTTGCCTCTTGTGCTTTTTAAATTTAATTACATTAAAACTAGTTAACCTGTCAATTTATGCAGTTCAAAAAACCTTACCATGCCATTAGTGACTATGACTCTAGGGGCATTGGAATGACTAGGGAAGAGTCCCATAGGGTGGCCGGAGTACATCACAAGTGTCTGTTCCTCTGTCATAATAGACAGGTAGTGCATCATCAATAGGAACTGCAAACAAGTTATATCTTGCAGTTTAATATTGTAAATACTTTCATCTAACCATGGGCTTTCAAGAGACTCCATGATCTAAACAGGCCAGGTTGTAATTTGGCTTTATTTCCTTAATTTCTCCTTCAAAACCTGCCATTTGTTACAGAGGCTGAATGCCAAACACCAACCGCCAGATGATAAATGCTGAACACCAACTACTGAACAAACTATAACAATAATTAAAACAACAGTGGGTATAAAAATGTGTCACCATTGAGGAGATATAAAATCAGAATACCTGTGCCCAGTTTGAAAAGATCTGTCCGTTGCCTCCATAAGTGACGAGTTCATGTGGGAACTGGGCAACACAAGGGTCAAGGTTGTTCATTACCATATGCATAATTGCTGCAGCTTGTTGGCTCTCACAGGGATATTCTGATATAGGATATGCTCTACAAATAAATAAAACATATACAGTGGTGAAAATATACAGTAAATCCAAACTTCTCTCTATTATAAGAATACCTCTCAATGTGAGCAGCTTTTCTTGGTTTCAAATGTTATCTTCAATTGATTCACATCTAAACTGTTACTGTTAAAAAAACATATATTAGCAAACCATGAAGGATTAAATTATACATTTTTCCTGGCCTACCTCATCTCAATGCTGGGGCGGAATCTGTACATATAGATGTGACCATACTGCTGCAGCTCAAGGGCAAACTCAGGAGCAAGTACAGGGTGGCTGGTACTAGGGAAATATCGCAATGCATTCTCCAAGGCTTGCTGAAAATATCAACAACTTCATGGTATAAATATGCCTTTGTTGACGATTCCAACTCTGAAAATGTGTTGAGCAGCAGTTACAGTCATTATGGCCCAACTGCAGCACCATAAACACTATATTAGGTTTATAAATGTGTTATAGAAAAACAAGAATGGCCAAGAATGCACTCTTTTATACTTAACTCCACTTACCCTTTGCTCCTGGGGTGTCAGGTTAGGTGTGCGTACAGGTGCATGAGGTACATCCTCATCCCTGGGGCGGGGATTAGGGAGGGGATCCAATGGCAGACCTGCACACAACTCCTTTAAAGTAGACATCCTGATATTTCACCACTTTGTCAACCTGAAAGTTTCATAAATATCACTAAGAATTATAGAAGACTGAAGATCAAATTTCACTGTTAGTTGTTTATAAATCAAATTGTAAACTTATCTTATGTCAAAGTGATTTGGAGGTGTGTTTCTCAGTGCGTATAGTAAGGCCAAAGTAGTTGACTCATATGTTTCACACTCAAGGATTTTCATGCAATGAGGGAATATTAATTTAATTTTTGCTTTTTTAGTTTGAAGAGAGTGAGGGATGGTGTGTAATTGTCAACAGTTGTAAAAGAATGAAAAGTCTAATTAATGTAAGTAAACAAATGTGCAAATTACTGCTGAAAAAAGAGAAAAATGGGTAAATTATATAATGGGTAAATCATGCTTTTCAATTCAGTTGATTATAATTTTCAACAGGCATTAACATTCAAAATGTCACCACCTGTCATTTGTTACAGATGTCGAATTCTGAACTCTTCCACCAAACGCCATTCAAAAAATTGGAGACCATAACAATATGTCAACACTTGCATTGGTGACATAAAAATGTATATTTCCCCCCTCACATGACTTATTAAAAATGAAATCAAATATCATTCTTGATCATTTGGAAAAGATGATGCACTTTTCTTTAAAACTAAAAAGGGGACATGTATGTTATTGCCATTATTTCTTTCGATGGCCTATATTAGACCTGGGATAATCAAATGACCTGATGGCATTGGGGTTAGCATCACCAGGTTAATATTCATAAGTGTTTATTTGAAATTTATCTCAGTAATAAATCACAACAGATTAAGATTTGCAAATTATTAATTTTACTGCAAGAGAATGATGTGAGGGGGGGGGGTGAAAAGCTTACTTCTAAACCATAAAAAATTACTGAAAATGATTGAGCTAATAAAGGAATTTAAATCTTTCTTAGTAGTAGTTCCTACAAGTAACTCACTCCATATACAGTTTATGATCCCAAGCAGAAATTTGGTATATGTTATAATTTAGAAGGGGGGGGGGGGGTCATAAAGGCTACATTGTATACTCGCGGTAGATGTCAAAGTGACAGTATGCCTTGGCAAATTTTACAATTAAACGTCAAATATGACATCATACGATGACATGAACAAGGCATAACATGACAAAATGTCGTCCTTTTTAAGTTATTGCAAACTGTTACAGATGACAAACTCTGAATGCTGAACTCTGATGGCCGAACACGGATTTCAACACTTTTATGGTCTTTATGGTCTTCCACTTTGGATTGTGCTTCATGATACAGAATAAAGTGTAAGGCATGGTATGGTACATATTGATAAAAATACATCTAGTTTTACATTGGAAATCTGAAAAGAAAGTGAAAGTGAAACTAGGTCATACCGTGCACGTGATGATGATTTTTAAACTTTTTCAGTGGCAATCAAACATCTCCATTTTAAAGTCACATGATCTCTTTATCACTTGCAAAGTGACTTGATTTGATAGTATGTATGCTCTGCTTTTCAGATTTACCATCATATTCTGTAGTGTATAAAGCACTACTGTATAAAACAGTAGAGTGATAGAGAGACTTTCTAACTGCATTTATTTATGTCACATGACAAGTGAATTCTAACGAGTGGCAGCTTTCAATTAAAAAGTGAAACAAGAAATGAAGAAATGACTTCATCTTGGAGTTTATACCATATTACTGTCTTTGTGCTGACATTTGTGTCGTAAGTAGAATAATTCTAGTAATCTGAAGTATTTGGGAACGTTCCATTAGTAATCAAATAAACAAAAACTGTGAAACAATGCTTGCAAAATTTCATCCAAAACTTTTTAATTTTTTATCTGGTTTCAATTTTGATTTCATTCATTTTTCATCTGTTGAAAGCCCATGATTTTTCTGCTGAAATATTTGATTGACAGAGTATTGTAAATCAATGTTGGTTAATGACCATATAATCTGATGCATGGATGAAGATCATGAGATGCAGTCCCCCACCTTCTTTCAATTTTATCACATGATACTCTCCACCTCCATAACTGGCATACATGCAATCTGCATGTTAGGGATACGTTTTGTTAGCACAATATCAAAGTTTGTCCAGCTTTGGGCTCTCCCGTGTGGTCTCACACATATATATGTGTTCATAGTTACATATACGTATTTATACGAGGGTTGTCCAAGAAGTCATGAAATTTTTTGTTTCTACTGTAGGTACTTTTTCTCATTTTTTATAACAATTTTTGTTTCTGCAGCCCATTTCACTGTTTTATTGGGTCATTTTTTGTAATATCTTTATTTTAATTGTTTGGAAACGTTAATTTATTTCAGATATGCATTCTTCCATGCAACAAGGAAGACATTTAGCAATGTAAAGGCGACCATTTCCCAAGAGTGGACCCCTGCCCCAGATCTTCTCTATAACGACACGTTCCACAATGGAACAATTCACCAGCGGACATTACCAGATAAGGTACTATTTTATATTCTATTTAAGATTCTGTATAAAGCCATGCAACAATAGGCAATGGCAATATATAGATCAGGTATAAGGTTCATGTATGAGCCTCAAACAAGGTACCACAGGCGTAGTGCCCAGTACGCTGGATACGCAAAGGCGTACCAGATGGTTGCAAATTCGCTCCAAATGCAACCAAATTTCAAAATTTTCCTGACCTCACTAAACGCTCGTTTTTTGCTACGCTCAACTCTTGTTCCCGTTGTGACGTACTACTGAAATATACGCCCATGGGTACAGTACACATGTAGAGTAAAACCTGTTCAATCTGTCAACGTAGTATCTAACAGTATGGGGTTATATGGTTTGTGACAACAAAGACACAGGAATTCTGCAAGTGTGATTATGTCTTTTTTATGGTATAAGAATTTGCAATATATCAAAACAAATATGTATCAGGTCCAAGAAATGATGTCATCCTGCATCATTGATTAAAAAATCTCAGCACTGTCAAAAGTTCCCAAATCCAGAACACAAATAAATCCTGTAAGAATGAGATTTATCAGTATATTTTGGTTTCATGCTTTTATAGAAAATAAAAGGCAATTTATTTTTGTATGAGACAATGGAGAAGTGTTTAGTAGATGGGCTTGGTGCAAGACTAATGTGAAAAACATCTCACTTCACATTTTCCCTTAATACACAGGCCCGTAGCCAGGATTTGCCAAGGGGGGGGGGTTCAGTTTTCAAAAATTTCCAGGGGGGGGTTCACATTTGACAATTTTGGCCCAAATATGGCTAAAATCACTTGAGAAGTGCTCAAAATGGTGAAAAACTTGCATGATTTTGAAAGGGGGGGGGGGGTTCGCCCGAGCCCTGCGAACCCCCCCCCCTGGCTACGGGTCTGATACAATCCTGAGATTCAAAAGGAGATACAAACTAGAACTGGTAACATAATATCATGATTTTTTATATTGTAGATATGGAACAGTCATAATTTCTATGACAACAAAAACGATGCAGAATATTTTCTTGGAGACCTTGATACAGCTTTCCTGATTGCATACGCAGTGGTAAGTATTAACTTGAACTATTGTTCTTACTGTGACATGATACATTATATATTATCCATGATGCATAGTTAAACCTATCTTAATGAACACCTCTCTCTAGTGAACACCTGTGTTTAGTGCTTCTACCTGCAGTTTTCGAATTGATATTGATTTAATGAATGTTTTTATATTTTGATAAAAAAAAATCAGAAATTTTCCAAAAGGTAAGTAGCATCAAATGAACCCAAGTTACTGTTCATGTATGAAGATAAGCATCTTGAGAGATCACAGCCTTCTGATTAGTACCTTCCTAGAAGGCAGAGATGGTCTGAGCATCAGTTTTCATGTTGCTTTATACTTGTAGGGCCTCTTCATCAGTGGTATTGTAGGTGACAGACTCAATATGAGGCTGGTGCTGTCATTTGGCATGTGCTCATCCGCTGTTGCGGTAAGGCTTGGTGTCTCATTTTCTCCTCATTTGGAGAGCTTACAGTGTCATAAGTAGAAACAAATGCAGAATAATCTTTATCGTTAGAATATATAAATGTCAGTCATTATTGTTGAGAGACATGTATATGAAACATTCATGAAATTTCAGAATTTCTGGTGTACGTTTCATTATATTTCAAGTGCTAAAAACAGAAAACTCATCTAAATGCACCATGATTTGTTTTCACAAATTCTAACTAATTTATTTTTTAGGTATTTTTGTTTGGTACACTGAGTGAGTGGCTCCACCTATACAGTAAGGAGTACTACCTAGCTATGTGGATAGTCAATGGGCTACTCCAGAGTACAGGGTGGCCAACTGTTGTAGCAATAATGGCTAACTGGTTTGGGAAGTCAAGGTGAGTTATGTTATTACGTCCATGATGCTAGTAAAACTTATTAAATGGAACCCTTCTATGAATCTAACACAGGCCCGAAGTCAAGATTTGCCAAGGGGGGGTTCACTTATTGAAAAATTCCAGGGGGGTTCACTTGTGACAATTTTGGTCCAAAAATGGCCAAAATCACTTAAAAAGTGATCAGAATGGTGAAAACTGCATGATTTTGAAAGATTTTTCGGCCAGGGGGGGGTTCGCTTGCTTCCCAACTGTAACGTTATTTTGAGGTATAAAAGGAATTCTCCTTACATGTTTTACTATGTCTTACTGTACTCGTCTCTGTTTTAGTCGTGGTGTGGTGCTAGGTCTCTGGAGTGCATGTGCCTCAGTGGGCAATATCATAGGGGCCTTCATTGTGGCTGGAGTTCTACAATACGGATATGAGGTACAGGGAAATGCTTATTTATTTAATGAATAGACAGGCCCGTAGTCAGAGTGGGAGGGGTTGGAAGATTTGAGCGGAATGTGAACTCCCCATAGTCAAAAGCTGACTATGGGCCTGATAGAGGTTATTTAATAAGAGGGAAGTCATTTAGGTTTTATTCTGAGGGGTAGTAATCATCTTTATCTATCAAGGTATTACTGAAGGATTACATTGGTTTAACAGTTCGGGTAATAACTAATAATTGACCATGGAAAATATTATATTGACAAAGAGCTTTAATCGAGTTATCATGGTCAATGTTGTAAATCCTGTAAAGCAGTATTTATTCAATTTGGGCTTTTAGAGAGATTTCTATTTTGCTTCCAGTATGCCTTCCTGGTCCCTTCAATTGTGTTGTTTGCTGGAGGAATTGTAGTGTTCTTTGGGCTGGTGGCATCGCCTAAAGAGGTGGGACTCCCGGAGCCAGACGAAAATGTCATTGTAACGAATAATATCATCAACCAATCGGGTCAACCAACTGAAAGAGGTTAGTCTAGCGAAGAATTCACGCTTTGATAAGAAATTCTGCAAAATATTTAGCACATTCACATCACTGTCATCTAGCATTGAAGCAAATGGATGCTCCTGCAGTTACGTTTTTGAAAATTGAAAAATCATGAAAATTGGCATATTTTGACTAATTTTGGTCAGAACTGTGAAAACGGGAATATGGCAAACTGATTCATATTATAATATATAATATGGTAGTAAATATAACAACATATTTTCAGATCCTCTGCTGCAAGGTAGTAGGAGGAATGAGTCCATAACAGAAGTTGACGAGGTGTCCAATGAACCAGAAACAAGCCCAGAACCAAAGGCTATTGGATTCTTCCAAGCCTTTTTACTACCTGGAGTCATTTTGGTAATTTACTATTCCACTTAAAGTCGTTACCATAATCTGTATATCATGACCATAATCTGTATATCGCGACAACAATCTGTATATCATGACCATAATCTGTATATCGCAACTACAAACAAGGACTTCAGTTTAGTGTGCTTAATAATCAGCTATGGTAGTTATGGAGAATGTATCCATCCACTTGTTTGTCCTTATGTCCATCTGTCCTCAGACAATTCCTTTTTCTTAAATGATGGAAATATCATTCATGTTATTGGATAATATTGGGCAAATAAAAACCTTATTTATAATCGTCATGAAATACGTATACACATGTACACATTTTATGTATTGTAAAATATTTTTATGTGTATTTCAGTATTCATCCTCCTACGCATGCCTCAAGATGGTGAACTATGCCTTCTTCTTCTGGCTCCCCTATTATCTCACCAACCAATTCGGCTGGAGTCAAGCCAGGAGTGACGAGCTCTCTATATGGTATGACGTAGGGGGCATAGTCGGTAAATGATTGTAGTATCTGTTAAGTGTTCTTTGATATTGTAAATGAATTTTGTAATTTTATGATGAACTTTTTTATTGATTGATAAAATGTAAGATTATGCATATTAAGGTAAGATGAGAAGAATAAATAATCTGGACATGACTTTTACATGAGGGCCATTTACATCAAAATGTATCCGTTTAGGCTCACCTAAAAATCTAAATCTTATATTTTTCAGGAGGGACTATAGGAGGTTTTGTATCAGTAAGTTTGAAATTTGAAATCATCTTATACTCTCTTGGATCATTATTACATTATTTTTTAATATTATTAATTTAATTCTTTACAAACATGTAATATGTATCATTCCACCCTCTGAAAATTGACATTTCTATTACTGTTAGTCACTCTACAAGTTACTCTGTTTGTCTAATTGTATTGTTTAATATATTTTTGAAAGTACCTTATTACCACCTAACAGTCATCCGATAAACCATTCATAAGGAATAGACATATAAAAACAAATAACATAATCATTACTAATAAACCAAAAGGGCTCATGAACACCAAATGCAAGGTATAGTAGAGTGTAGTATCCCCTCCTCAGATAAAATAGTTATTTTGTTGTTTTTTACTTTTCAGGATAGGATGACAAAGCGTAGTCCAACAGTTATGTTCATGCTGCTTCTCTCAATTCCACTCCTGTACTTCTATAGTAGTAAGTAATATCATGTAGTAAAAGCTGTCTAAGCGGAACACCTTTGATACCTCTATAACGTGTTTCACTTTGGAGGCCTTACTCTTGTAGAGGTTCATTTAACATGTAGCCAGTTGGTATTGGGACTCTGAAAAGTGTTCGTCTATCAGAGGTGTTTCACTTCTAGAGGTGTTCCATTTTACAGGTTTCACTGTATACAATAAAACATGTCAAGTGAAACCCTACTATAAGTGGAACACCTCTTTTAGTAGAACACTTTTCAGAGTCCAATGATCAACTGAAACCTATAAAGTGGACCTCTATAAATGGAACACTTCCACACAATTATGCTAATGATTATATTACATAATAATATTTCACAAGTACATGTACACCATTAATTTGCACAATGATGTCATGTACAAAAAGACCCAAAAAGGTCAACCATTTTAATCATAACTATTGCTGTAGCTCAATATTTATAGCACTCATCTTCTTTGATATATGACTGTCCTCTTTTTTATATTTTACAAGAATTAATCTTGCATAAAACATAAAACGTAACACATAAAAACTTAACAGTTAAATACAAAGTGTCCATACATGAGTAATCAGTATGACGTTCAAATTATACATTTTTGCTCTATGAACTATGAAAGAAAATGTTATCACTGTTGTTCCAGTATCTCCTAATGACAAGACAATCAATGCATTCCTCATGTCCCTGGTTGGGTTTGGGCTAGGTGGCGCTGCCAACATCATTAGTTCTGCCATCACTGCAGATTTAGGTAAGTGTAGATACTAGACTATTTTAAATAAGGTTTATTTACCTAGTTGAAACATTTTTGCATAATACACAATGGTTAACAGATAGTTGTTATCGGTTACAGATTTTAGAATTCTAAGCTTCAAAATTCACGCTTAGAAAACATAAGTTTAATTTTGTTATATTTCGCATATTTAGGCAAGCAAGATTCACTTCGTGGGAATACCAAGGCCCTAGCTACTGTTACTGGGATAGTAGATGGTACAGGGAGCGTAGGGGCGGCTATAGGACAGGTATAAGTGAACACTGAACATATATTCTACAAGGCGTCCATAAAGTCTCTACACAGATGTATTGTAATTGTAAAGCGACTTAATGGACACCCTGTGTAATGTGCAGACAGTCTTCTGAATAATGTTTTTTTCAAAGTATTTTGTACAATTTTCCCAGCCCAATTTAGGTATACTTTGTTGTCAAGTTTAAAGGGACAGGTCAATAATCTCCCAGAGCAATTGAGATAACTAGTCTATAATTCTGATTGTTCTTATTGTCCAATCAGGTTTGAATATTTTAATGCAAGATTTTATAATATAGTACTGTCGGTCAAACTGCATACCCTTCTTAAAACTAATTCTCTTCATTTGCTAATATGAAGACCAAAACATTTTCCTGCCAATTGACTGATGATGAGGTTGGCATCAGAATTTAACTTGAAATTTGTGGAATGCCAGTGAGAAAAACAGTGCAGGCTGATCATTACACTTTATTGACTCCAGGGTGTACTTGGCAAATTATTTACCTTCTATTGACCAATCAGAATCTAGTATTTAGATTGAGATACTTTCTGCTTCTTGATTGAGATATTTTTTGTTTTATTTGGAGGTGTACAATTTATCCAGTCTACCTCTAGATAGGTCTATAATTGTATATTATTCCATATTTCAGTTCCTTGTACCTATCATACAACTCAGACTCAACTGGCACTGGGTCTTTTACTTCTTCATTTTAATGGTATGTACATGTATTAAGCTGTTGTATATAACTAAAAAACAAGCTTAGTCTAACTAGTGTGGTATCTATGTATTTAAAAATTTAGAAACACAAAAAAATTCACTTCCTTCATATTCACAAGTATGTACATGAAAGTGATAATGCAACTTCCTATTCTATTTATGAAATATAATACATTCTGCAATACACAATGATTAAATACAATAGGTTAATAAATACAATGTATTAAGTACAATAAATAGTATTGTACTTTTATTTCAGACAATTTTAACAATGGCTTGCATCTTACCACTGTTTATCGCTGATATCCGCTCAATGTCTTGCTGGCGTAGACGATACGGAACACCCAGATTACAAGTGAACATAGATGGCAGCACTTATGATTATGTATCAGACCATAGATCAGATCAGTATGGTAGCCCTTCAGTGCAGTAGAGGGGAGGGGGTTAATCGCACACTCCCCTCGGCTGATCTCACCAGACTACCCAAGGGGCCCACTATGAATACTACTTATACCCCAAGGGCATTGTGCAAGATACATAACATTATACTGTGATTCTGTGGGTACTGTATTCATCTTTAGTTTGGCGCTTCTTAATTTGGTGATCTCTGGGATAATGGACATATTGGTGTCTATTTAATTTGGCTGATTTTCAAGGGGATAAATCTCATATCTAATTTTTGTAAGAACCTCTGTCCTGACTATGACATTGTGTAACTTTATTTAATGCCACAGCATTAGCCAACCTGTTCTCCTGTTAACCCAATTCAAGATTCTCATTGTCAGTGTTGTTGATAAACAATATCTTCGAATATTTCTAAATTTTAAAGGCCCCAGCCATCTTGGTATATTTATGATAACTGGAAAAATCACAAAATTAAAACACCAACTAAAGACAAATACAATATTATTTACAAACTATATACTCAATACTGCAGGAGAAATTTGCAGTAAAATGCAGATAACTGCTGATTTAGAATGTGCCAATGATATTGATTATATTATTTCATTATTTGTGTGCAATATCTTTGTTTTCATGCAAAGGAATTGTTATTGAAACAAGTTGGCCAAAAGTTTTAACTTTTGCTATAAATGCTCAGATTTTTAGCCAACTGATTAATATTTTTAAAATTGAATTGCAATGACGCTGATGTCGTGAACCAGTTTTTAATCCTTAATTAACTTAATTATTTATTTCAATTTTATTTATTTATCAACTTATTTAAAGTAGTTGAAATGAATCATAATTTTCAGATTTTACATATTCAATGTTCAATGTGACTTTGACAATGGATCACAAAAGCTAATACTGGAGGTGCTATTTTGGCCTGTTGTTCTGCATTCAATGAAATACTCATGTCTTATGCATTTTCTTGCATAATTTTATACCAGTACATTATATGTATCTTTTAAATAGACTTGATGTAGGTGCTGTTAAATGTACATGTTTGTTTTTCAATTTTAGTCATAAGTATCATCACAGTTTTTGGATACCCTGTATGTAGTAAAATGATTTTATAACTGTAAAAGATAAAAATTCTGTGCACTGGAGTAAATATGTGTTATTGTCATTAGTTTAAATGTATATTATGTCTAAGTGTACCAAGAAATATAAATTTTGAATAAATTATTGGAATTCGATTTTGTTTGTAATTCTTTGCTTTGTTGTTGGTGAGTTTCAGCCTTAATTGTCACAATGTAGGCAAGGAGTACTTACATATCAAGTAAAATTGGTTCTACAGTAAAACCTGTATATTCAAACACCTGGCTTATCCAAACACCTCCCAATTTGAACACTTCTAACATTTTTCTTCCCATTGGCGCACATGTTAAAATAAACAACTGAAATGTGAACAGCTCCCAATTTGAACAGTGAACAGTCATGTTTGAAAAATTAAGCAATCTTATCCAAACACATTCGACATTTTATACAAAATTGCCCAAATATTTTTAACACTGATTTGTTATATCAAAACTACTTTGGAAAAACATTTAATGGTCTCAAATCATATTTCTTTCTAGCATCTTTCTTCTGAATTAGATTTTCAAATTATTTGAAATTGAATGCCATGAAGCTACAGTATGTGTTCAATAGAACTATAAATATTTATTGAGAATGTGTTCATATTTCTTCAAAATCCAAAATTTTGCAAATGCAAAAACCTGAACATTTTTAGCCTGACCCAATTAATGCATAGTAGAATGGGATTGCTCATGAAACCATCCTCCTAGTTGTCTAGTCATCATTCAATCTGTTCCTTGAGGCTGGATGTTGCAAGCACCACTAAAAAACTGAATGAATCTACAAAGTACTAATTGAAAGAGTATGACATAGTGAAATGGTAGCAGAGCAGAATTAATTACTTCAGTAATTGGAGAAATTAGCCTAATGTAAAGATAGATTATATCGAGAAGAATATGTAAAGATTAGTTTGAAGCTAAAGACTCCAATATTATACAAATACGGTAGTGCCCTGATTAATCAAAATATGTCCACGGTTTATATTTCGTGATATGTAATTCGCAGCCATAAAGAAGACTCGCATAAAATGTAAGTAAATTTTCTCTCTTTCTTTACTGTTTTGTTAGTTTTAGGTCAACATATTCATCACATAATCATAAGCATTTAATAACATAAGATAGGGAGCATTTGATGTTATAGCAATAGTAACACACGGTAGTGAATGACTGTGAATAAAACAACATTTACCGAAAATGCCCTATTATCGCCCATGCGATTTCAAAATTTTATTTCTCTATGCCACAGGGAAGAGGAGGGAAAGCCCCAGAGTTTCAAGATGACAGACATAATTACCTCTCTTGCTTACCACCTTCGTTCGTTCTTATTTTCATCGGCTAGTTATGAAATACTACACTTTGATGGGATGTTATAATTGATCATGGGCTTTCAATAGGCATATTCCGTACACCTTTCTTTATCTTGATGTGAAATGAGAAGCTATGATATTGGTTAACACGCCAGAAATGAACATAATATTATTCGAAGCGTATTTCGAAAATTTTGAAACCGCCATTGATGACGTCATTTGTTTGTCGACTTTTGACCAATCAGCGACCGTGTCATCTCAATACAGACTTACATTATAAGCGTATGTCATCTTTGAACCCTGGTGTTTCTCCCCCTCTGGCCACAGGGACATGTCTGGAGTGTCGGGAAATGACTTTTATGTGTCGGGAAAGCCCTCTGATATCTCTGTACTTGTCTAAGTAGTTAAAGATAATATTGACTACAGTGCTGATATATAATAATTAAGGTTGCGTTTTCAAACTAAACAGAGTGCTCCTATCAAAATGAATTTGGCTACATACCCCTGAGACTCTTATCTGATAGATAGAATGCACAAATAAAACAAAAGTTTTGCTATTATAGGTAAAAAGTTCTCTTGAAATTTCGAAGTGATTTTACCTGTTAAGGTTCAGCTGGAAAGTAACATTTTGGTAAAAAATTGCTATACCTGCACATGTTATTTTCTGGTACAAAATTAAGTATGAAGGCATGTGTGTATTTCCTTGCTTTTTTCAGGAAAGTATCATTACACTGTCTACTTTTAGTAAACCTGGAAATGGTAGCTCCTGTGTTGTCTGGAAACTTTGAAAGAAAATTTGGAAAAAAAGAAATTGTGAAATATCAGAATTTCCTGGAGTTCCCATTGAACTCCTACTAGATATTCTTAAAGAAGACAGTGTAATGATACTTTCCTGAAAAAAGCAAGGCAATTGACACATGTCTTCATACTTTATTTTGTACCAGAAAATAACATGTGCTGGTATAGCAATTTTTTACCAAAATGTTACTTTCCAGCTGTACCTTAATTCTGTCCATGGTCCGCCATTTTTGCGGAAGTTACACTGAAACGCAAACTCCATGAAACGAAACGAAATCACTAGAAAAAACATGGCACACATTGTGCGCATGTGCAGCAAAGTTTAGACCAATCAGATTATTTGATTTTTTGCGCACATGAATTATTTGCTTCTGAGCACTTACAAGCTTCCCACAATAAACAAACCTGGCAGAGACTACCCTTAGCCTACTTCATTTTGGCGAAATTTCTGCTCAAACTCGTGACAAATGCATTGTGCATACGCTGGTGTGAAGCCTTGGAGACACTCATTTTGGTAAATATGATTTATGGGGTATACTTTTCTGCAGTTTGTGGGAGTTTGGGACATTAAATGTTAAAATTCAAGAAAATATGCCATTTAAACGACTGATCAATTAATATATACCAGCACTGTACAGTAGACACAGAAGACACCAAAGGGCTTGCCCAAACCTCCAGACAAGCACAAGGCCTTCTTGGAAATATAGTGTGACTAAACTCTCTTTATCCCCAGCTTGAGGCAAATAAACATGATACAGGCAGTTCCCACAGTACTCCTCACAACCACTGGCTTTAAATAGAACATCAAATTCTTGTATTTCAGACTTTATATTTGAAGAGTGAGCACAAGTTCCTCAACTAATGGAGGACAACTGGACACTGCAGAAATGACATCATACAGCTTTCTTCCTACATTGCAATGTAAGGCTGATGTTGATGCAGCCATCAAAGGTACAGATGACTTGGTAGTTGTACTGCGGTTTGGACGTGCAACTGATAATGTATGCATGCAGCTTGATCATGTTGTAAGTATAGTTTTTGAGTTTCAAAGAGAATTGGCTCCCAGAATTCAATATCGATATTCTTTCCATATATCAAAAAAATCAGAAGATTCGAGAAATGATCGACTTTTATATTAGTTCAAATCTTTAAGATCGCAGATTATGAACTTATAGTCACTTATAAAATTAGAAAATAATGAAATTTTGCATGTTGTCATCGATCAAAGTCAAGGTTGAATATCGATGTTGCATTCTTGCATTCCTTGTTGAAATTGTAAAGATTATCTTAGGGAATTTTTATGATTATAATAACCATGATATTATGAAAAAGTAATGCTTTTTATGTCCCCACCACATAGTGTGGGGCCATATTGTCGGCCTAGGCGCGTCCGTCCGTCTATCTGTCTGTGCGTCCGTCCGGCAGTTTTCTCCAAAACTGCTACAGATATCACCTTCAAATTTTGAGGGATAACTTATAAGTGCTTACAGATGTGGATGAAAAAAATTTAATTCGATACCTACTTCCTGTCGGCCATTTTGAAGTCAAATGCTAAAATCCTTGTCTGCAAACTTTAAGAAAAACGGCTTCACAGTTGCTTTTAAAACTTTAATATCTTTTTCAGCTTACTTCATTCTACATCTGATTAGGTTTTGGACCTGTTAGCTCAGTCATGTCAGCAATTTTGAATGTCTTAAGAAAAGTTATCGCGCGATAATACTTTGTATCATATTGAATGGTGTTTTTGAGTTTTCATACTTTAACTATTTAATAGCTTTATAAATAATTTCAGGCGTACTTTATTGTAAAAGCCTATGTTATTGTTAACAGTGGTTATATGTGACAATTTTGTAAAAGGAAATCAGCAAAAACTCATAATCACTTTTTTATTGTCGGCCATTTAATTTTGGATTTTTCCGTCTCAAAATCTTGTCTGTAAAGTCTTGTCTACGCGTTTTCAGGTGAATCGTTTGGTAGATCAATTTCAAATTTTCAGGGATGAGTCTTAGGATGAAAATCTAGATCTGATTAGTTTTTGGGCATTCTGGGTAAATGTCAAGGCAGCCATTTTGGCTTTTCCGTCTTAAAAATCTTGTCTGTAAAGTCTTGTCTACGCATTTCCAGGTGAACCGTTTGGTAGATCAATTTGAAATTTTCAGGGATGATTCTTAGTATGAAAATCCAGATCTGATTAGTTTTTTGGCGTTCAGGGTAAATGTCAAGGCAGCCATTTTGGATTTTCCGTCTTAAAATCATGTCTGTAAAGTCTTGTCTACGCATTTCCAGGTGAATCATTTGGTAGATCAATTTCAAATTTTCAGAGATGATTCTTAGTATGAAAATCTAGATCTGATTAGTTTTTGGCATTCTGGATAAATGTCAAGGCAGCCATTTTGGATTTTCCGTCTTAAAATCTAGCCTGTAAAGTCTTGTCTATGCGTTTTTAGGTGAACCGTTTGGTAAATCAATTTCGAATTTTCAAGGATGATTCTTAGTATTAAAATCTTGAACTGATTAGTTTTTTGACATTCTGGGTAAATGTCAAGGCAGCCATTTTGGATTTTCCATTCTAAAATCTTGTCTGTAAAGTTTTGTTTACATGTTTTCTGGTTAACTGTTTGATGGATGAATTTCAAATTTTCAGGGGTGGTTCTTAGTATGAAAATCTAGAACTAACTTATTTTTGCGCATTCTGGGTAACTTTTAAGGCGGCCATTTTGGATTTTCCGTCCTCAAATTGTGTCTGTAAAGTCTTGTCTACTTATTTTAAGGATAACCAATTGATGGAATCACCCATTTGTGGGGACATTTTGTACACATTTGTGTTCTTGTCTTAATTTTACCTGGATATTTACACATTAATACACAAAATCAATATACCATATGCAATGTTTCATGTTATCCATTTACATATACTCTTCAAATAATTGCAGCTTGAGAAATCTTGTGGCGATGTTGCAAAGATGGCCAAAATCTTCCTAGTAGATGTTGATGCTGTCCCGATATACAGTCAATACCTGGACATTACTCTTATTCCTGCAACTGTTTTCTTCTTTAATGGCCAGCATATCAAAGTGGACTGGGGGTAAGAAGATTCTCTTCATTTCATCAATAGAATTATTGCGTCATCCTCTGTCAGTCAGTCTGTTACATGTTGTTACATAAATTAATCAATTGACTTTTTTTTTATCTTGAGTACATTGATTCTACTGTTGTTATCATATGATGATGTTCAGTTTTACATGTTTTGTATTTTCAGAAGTCCTGACCACACAAAATTCATAGGTACCTTCAAGGTTAAGCAACACTTCATAGATGTAGTGGAAACTATATTCAGGGGTGCTATGAAAGGTAAAGTGATTGTCCAGAGTCCACTAGATCCAGCAGACATCACAAAGTATGAACTGATCTTCAAGGACATATGAACCTAAACATACCAGGATTGTAAGTTGAACTCAACATACTTAGGAGATTGCAATGAACCTAAACATACTGGGGTTTTACGAGGAACCTAAACAGGGGGATAATACTAACCTAAACCAACTAAGGTTGCAGGGGCATATTAGCCAACACCAATTGAGGTTGCAAGGACATGTTAGCCTACACCAACAAAGGTTGCAAGGACAAATTAGCCTACACCAGCTAAGGTTGCAAGGAGATATAAGCCTACAACTAAGTTTGCAAGGACATATTAACCTAAACTAACTAGGTTATGAGAACATATAAACCTAAACCAACTAAACTTGTTAGCCAGGTTCACCAACTAAGGTTGCAAGGACATATTAGCATACATCAACTAAGGTTGCAAGGATATAGTAATCTAAACCAACTTAAGTTGCAAGGGCATATTAACTTAAACCAACTAAGGTTGCAGGGACATATTAGCCTACACCAACTAAGGTTGCAAGGATATAGTAATCTAAACCAACTAAGGTTGCAAGGACATATTAATCTAAACCAACTAAGGTTGCAAGGACATATTAGCCTACACCAGCTAAAGTTGCAAGGACATGTTAGCCAGGTACACCAACTAAGTTAGCAAGGACATATTAGCCTACACCAACTAAGGTTGCAAGGATATAGTAATCTAAACCAACTAAGGTTGCAAGGACATAGTAATCAAAACCAACCAATGTTACAAGGACATATTAACTTAAACCAGCTAAGGCTCAAAGAACATCCTTAAACATAGGAAATAATATTGAGGAGTAAATCACCATATATTGAAACATATATTGAAGTTATGAACATACTGTATGTTCCTGAGGCTAGGCGTAGGCCTTCAAAACAAGAGGCTCTTCTCATCAGGTACTAACCAGACATTGACATACTGTTAGCAATTTTGGATCCTCTTTGATCATACCACATACACAGCAAACAATTCTCAATGTTGATTGAATGAAAAATCAACATTGATTTTCTCAAGCGTTGATTGCCATAATTGCCCTTGGGTTGATTCAGTGTAAAATCAAACTTGACTCAGGCTTGAACAATGCTGATTCAACTCAGGGTCAATTTAATGTTGATATCAAGCTTAATACAGTGTCGATTTTTCAGGCTTGATTCAAGGCTGAGGATTTAGATGTTCAATCAAGCTTGATCTTAAGGTTGATTCAGGAGTGAAATTTTAATGTAGAATCAAGCTTGATTTCAGGATAAATTAATCCAGATTTGCCATCAACCTTGAGAAATGTTTGTTGTGTAATTCACTGGCTAATAGGCTATAAGCCCTGTGACTTAGCAATGATTTCACTAGTAAACTCTCGGTATTGTGAGGTTTTATTTATATTCATTTTCTAGAAAAGCAGCTCTATACATTTGATGGAAAGAATAACTTTCAAAGACATTAAAATATGACAAACTGACATTGATGTTGATGTTGTTATAGAAGCAGTTTCAAAACTTGCATCTTCCAATGTTACAGTGTTACAAGTCTGTTTTATGATTAATTTATTTTCTTAAAGAATATTATACAATTACATTGCATGAAGTGGAAGACCCCCTTTTGAGGATTTTATCCACGAATAGGAGTTCAGAAAATGAATTTCATCCATCCGTTAAGATGTCCAATGATCTGAGACACATTTAGATTTAAGATATTCTGATAACATCTAGGAAAATGTTTGAAAATTACATGCCTATGTTCACTTGTAAGCAACATAGTTGATGGCAAAATTATGCCTGGCCTGACTTATAAGTATGTTTAGTTGTGAATGGACTTCTTTGGCCATAAATGAAAATGAACCATAATTTGACCATGTTCCATGCAAAATGGTGATTGACAATTGTGCCAAGATATTGATAGAAAATTTTACCAACCAAGACAATACAATGTACATGTATTTCACTTCCAAAGTATATTTCTCCCCGTAAATATTTGAATAGTTTGGACATGTGGACACCATTTGATAGAATTATGTTGGACACATAGTTTGACACTTAACCCATATTTGGTATTTTGTAATTTGGTGTATTAAAATTTAAAAATGTAATGAATAGGCCAATAAAATAACAACAATTTTTGAGCACATGTACAGCTTTAATTTTCTATTTTTCATAATTTTTGCAACTGTACAATACAATAATGGAGTTATTGCATCCCAAGATTCACACTAAAGCATTATTATTACACTGTATTATGGTTACCTAAATATTTTAACAATCTTGATGTTGGCTACATGTTAATAAGTCATCAACTTGAAACATATTGAACCAATTGCTTGAGTAATAGAGGGAAGGAACTAGTTCGATGTATTTCAAACAATTTGAGGGTAACATTTTTAATTAAAAATATAACTTTAACCCAAAAAGTACTCACTTTAGGTATAAAAATATATTTACAAATCCAGACTTTTCCCTGCCTCTCCTAGAGGGCCTTAGAGATTCACATTATTGTATCTACATCTCTAGGAGTGTTTAAACATAATATTTTATTTTTTAAATTCTCAATCTATCCAGTGTGACGTTCATAATCAGTGCCGGAACCAGTGAACCCCCTAGAATGGACCCAGACATTTTTTCGGGCCTAAAAATAGGGCCTCAATAAGTTGATCTTTGTGGGCCTTAATTTTTCAATTTAAGTCAAATTTTCAAAAAATGGGCAGAAATGTTTTTCTGACTTGAAATGTGCCTTCCTTGTTATCTTCTGGATCCACCAGTGATAAGTCCACGAGTTATTTCCATGAGTCTGATCAATTTTGAAAAATATTTGAACAAAATATTTGACATGCCAATATAAGCTATTGCTTTGGTTATATTGTAATATATACAGTACTGTACTTCTGCTTTATTTTAGTTCTACTTATTTTGGCAAATTTGTTGTTTTGAACATTTGGCAGCTACTTAATTTGGTGGAATTGCAATATTACAATGCACTAGTGCACTACATGCACTAGAGATGCTAATTTATATGGTACTAGAATTACTGAGGAATTTGGCAGAAACTTAATTTGGCGGACTTAACAATTTCACCAAATTAAAACAGACATCAAATTAAGTAGAAGTACATCAGTAAAAACATGGAGAACTGCAAATTCTATAATTCTCTGACTCTGATAAAGGCACTTAATGTTCTTTAGTAATGTACATGTATCTACAAAAAGCCCTTTTTAATAATGGTCAAAGGCTCTTAGTTGGGGTTAATCCTGACCGAGACCTTCTTAGGCTATCACAGTATTGCTACTTGTTCCCGAAAAGAAATCTATTACACTCAAAGGTATACAATCTCCATAATGTTTTCCGAGCTGAGTCCTGTGTACTGCACATGTGTACCAGTTGATGGGTAAAGTTAACATAATTAGGATTATTTGAATATTTATATTTATCCGATGGATACTAAATATATATTGGGATAACAACACAAGATAATTTTGGTATGCGCCACTAAAATCGTATCCGATCCATATGACGTAATATCCAATCGTATCCGACGGATACTATTTTAAAAAATATTTTATTTGAAAATTTTTGAAAATTAATTCAGAAAAAAATTTGAAAAATAAATTATAAAATAAAAATAAAAAATAAATTTTGGAAAACATTGTTTTTATATAATCATTTTATATAAATAAGGTCACAGAAAATAAAATGAAAAAAAAGAAAAGAATTAGAAAACAACAACTTTTAGGTCTAATTATTTGAAGTCCATACAAAAATAGTGACTATCGGATAAATATGATATCCTATGATTTTCTCGGCTATCATTTTTATCCACTCTTGGATAACACCGATCTCCAGGCGATGAGCGATATCCACTCATGGATAAAAATGATATCCCTCAAAAATCATATTATATCCTCTATGTATACTGGAGTCATATTGTCCTTCCGAAATGAAGCATCTGATCCGACTTGTATTTTCATCTTCATCTTCAGGAAAGCATTATAGATGAAAAGGTCAAAGACTTCAATCAGTGTCATGATGCTGCCACCTATAAACAGCCCCATGAAGCCTCCAATCTCACCTGGAAATATATTATTATACTTTTATTATTATATAAACATAACATTTGTTATCTCTCAAAATAATTTTTTATATATTTCTATAGTCCTTTGATCACACAGTGTGGTCCAAAAAATCATTGATTAAATTGATAATGTACCAATGATCTCAACCACCCTGTATTATTACAGAGAGCTCTTCATTCACATTTTCTGCATTACAGAAGAGTTAATGCACAAGGTCCTTGTGTCTATTTCTCCAAACTCCATGAGTTACAGACCCGTTAAATTATGATTTCCATAGAATTGAAAGATGCGAAGTTTCATATTGCATTTCTCCAAACTCCGTATCGTAATTTTCTGAGGTGCCTATAATGTTAAGGTAAAAGAAGGCAATGATGTTATGATTATCATTATCTTACATAAATCCCTTAAAATGCCAAACCAATACGTTTGAGAAAGAACAATTGACTTACGAATCCGTAACTTTAAGGAATTTTGAGAAATAGACCCCTGGCACATGAACTGGGTCATGGGTCGTATGAGGTCTGAAAGAGCTGTGTCAGTAAACTATAATCATTAGTCACTCTACATGAGAAAGCTTAACAAAGTTGGTAACAAGATTTAGGTTATGATGCAACCATTCTTGTGATTGAATTTTGTCTTGAAGGATTCTGATTCTGATTTCTATGCTTGAATAATAGAAATAAGTGCATTATTTGAAATGCATTGTTTGTATAGAATCCGAGTCAACCCAGTCAACCAGATGAAAATGAATATATTGAAACTGATTAAATGGACCACTGATATATGGATTAATTATATTCACTTTATTAACCTTTAGAATATTATATATAGAAAATGAAAAATTAGAGCGATTAATTTTATACAACATAAAAGCTGATTAAATATACCATGCAGTATCACAAATCATCAAACTGTATAAATGTTTTAAATCAAAAGTTTCATGATCTGGCAATTATTGCCAGAAATAATCAAGAGAAAGAATGGGTATCGATATGGCGAACTTTTTGAACACACGTTTCTCTTAAACCAGTCATCAAAAATTTCTGAAAATCTTACAAATTGTCAATATAATGGCCATCTTTTGAATGGTAACAATATAATTTGAAATAGATATACATACTTTCATCTATATTGTTTTAAAAAACACATCAAACACTTGTTTTGTTCTTGGTATCATGTTTCCAGAACCTCATTGGAACAAAACGACATAAACACAACATGTTTAGGTCTCTCAATATTGTAATTGTACTAAGGAAATTTTGGTTGATTTTAAAAAAGTATCTTGATAATGAAATAAAAAGTTTTTCTTGAATTTTATCTATTTTGGGGGGATTTTGTTTTAATTTTTTGAATGCTTTTTTAAAATTAACCAAAAACTCCTTTGTATAACTTTAATATTGAGAGGTCTAAAAACATGTTGTATATGCTATTTTGTTCCAACAAGGTTCGGAAAGACATTTTATTTCATTCTCAAGAATTGGTAGAAAGGAGCAAAAACAATTGCACTAAAAAACAATAAATGTTAACAAAAACAGTTATATAAAATATTTCTAAATAATTTTCACATTAAATTGTTGTCAATCAGTCAACATTACATAAAATACCATGAATGTTTTCAATGATTGGTTTAAAAGAAAAACATTGTTGAATTCAGTTCTCCATATCGATACCTATCCTTTAATTAATAGCATAAATGTCATCAGATAACTGGTTCATACTTCGAGGCTTGATTTAAATATAAAAGGCTTACTCCAGCCTAAACGAATCATTATCACTCCAGTTATATTTAGCAAGGGATATCTAAGAACTGTCTTAATTTAACAAAATGGTGAAAAGTGGATTTTTTGCTTGGTTGGTTCTACTTAGCTTGGTTGCTATAGTAAGTACAGTTTTTTGAACACACGTTTCACTTAGGTCTCTCAATATTGTAATTGTACAAAGGAAAGTTTGGTTCATTAAAAAAAGTATCTTGTTAATGAAATAAAAGGTTTACTTTTATCTACTATTTTGTGGATTTTTGTTTTAATTTTTTGAACCCTTTTTCTTAGAACCAAACTTTTCTTTGAACAGTATGCTATTTTGTCCCAACAAGGTTCAAAAAGATCTTGTTTCATTCTCAAGAATTGGTAGAAAGGAACAAAAAGTTGCACTTTTGTGCATATAATGCAAAAACAATAATATAAAATATGTATAAATAATTTTTGCATTAAATTGTTGTCAATCAATGACCATTACATAAAACACCTTGTATTTTTACAGATTGTTTTGAATAATTTGTTTGAGAGGAAAACAATGTTGAATTAGTTCACCATATCAAAACCAATCCATCACTTTATTTCAACCTTTGGGAATTATTGTTTAAGAGGAATTATTCCTGTTAAATATATACAGGGTATCAAATAAGTCCTCGCCCCCTCTACAGCAAAAACCAAGATATATGGTGCCAAGTGTGATATATCATCGGAAAGGTCTTCCAAAGCTATATGTTGATTGGCATATATTTGACACATGTCAATCAATCTCACAAATTTTTACATTGTATCAATTGAGGTGACCATAAGACTAGACAAGGCATTAACATGACAAAATGTCACCACCTAGTTGCTCACAATATTATGAGTTCAAACTTAAGTCAGATTTGAATTTCTGAGAACTTGTAAAGTCAAATTTGAACTTCTGAAAAGATGAAGATGATTTTGAAAAAAAAATTTGGTCAATTTGAAGCAAGTTGAAAACAGACCTTTTTGACCTTTTTTGACCTTGAGAAGGTCATTAAAGGTCAAATGTCAAATCTAAAGTCAGATTTGAATTTCTGAGAACATGTAGATGATTTTGAAAAAAAAAATTAGTCAATTTGAAGCAAGTTGAAAAAAGACCTTTTTGACCTTTTTTGACCTTGACAAGGTCATTGAAGGTCAAATGTCAAATCTAAAGTCATATTTGAATTTCTGAGAACATGTAGATGATTTTGAAAAAAAATTTAGTCAATTTGAAGCAAGATGAAAAAATACCTTTTTGACCTTTTTTGACATTGAGAAGGTCATTGAAGGTCAAATGTCAAATCTAAAGTCAGATTTGAATTTCTGAGAACATGTAGATGATTTTGAAAAAAAAAATTAGTCAATTTGAAGCAAGTTGAAAAAAGACCTTTTTGACCTTTTTTGACCTTGACAAGGTCATTGAAGGTCAAATGTCAAATCTAAAGACATTATTGAATTTCTGAGAACATGTAGATGATTTTGAAAAAAAATTTAGTCAATTTGAAGCAAGATGAAAAAATACCTTTTTGACCTTTTTTGACATTGAGAAGGTCATTGAAGGTCAAATGTCAAATCTAAAGTCAGATTTGAATTTCTGAGAACATGTAGATGATTTTGAAAAAAAAATTTAGTCAATTTGAAGCAAGTTGAAAAAAGACCTTTTTGACCTTTTTTGACTTTGAGAAGGTCATTGAAGGTCAAATGTCAAATCTTAAGTCAAATCTAAAGTCAGATTTGAATTTCTGAGAACACGTAGATGATTTTGAAAATTTTTTTTAGTCAATTTGAAGCAAGTTGAAAACAGACCTTTTTGACCTTTTTTGACCTTGAGAAGGTCATTGAAGGTCAAATGTCAAATCTTAACTCAGATTTGAATTTCTGAGAACACATTGATGATTTTGAAAAAAAAATTTAGTCAATTTGAAGCAAGTTGAAAACAGACCTTTTTGACCTTTTTTGACCTTGAGAAGGTCATTGAAGGTCAAATGTCAAATCTAAAGTCAGATTTGAATTTCTGAGAACATGTAGATGATTTTGAAAAAAAAATTTAGTCAATTTGAAGCAAGTTGAAAAAAGACCTTTTTGACCTTTTTTGACTTTGAGAAGGTCATTGAAGGTCAAATGTCAAATCTTAAGTCAAATCTAAAGTCAGATTTGAATTTCTGAGAACATGTAGATGATTTTGAAAATTTTTTTTAGTCAATTTGAAGCAAGTTGAAAACAGACCTTTCTGACCTTTTTTGACCTTGAGAAGGTCATTGAAGGTCAAATGTCAAATCTTAAGTCAGATTTGAATTTCTGAGAACACGTAGATGATTTTGAAAAAAAAATTTAGTCAATTTGAAGCAAGTTGAAAACAGACATTTTTGACCTTTTTTGACCTTGAGAAGGTCATTGAAGGTCACATGTCAAATCTTAAGTCAAATCTAAACTCAGATTTGAATTTCTGAGAACACTTAGATGATTTTGAAAAAAAAATTTAGTCAATTTGAAGCAAGTTGAAAACAGACCTTTTTGACCTTTTTTGACCTTGAGAAGGTCATTGAAGGTCAAATGTCAAATCTAAAGTCAGATTTGAAGGTCAAATGTCAAATCTTAAGTCAGATTTGAATTTCTGAGAACATGTAGATGATTTTGAAAAAAAATTTAGTCAATGTGAAGCAAGTTGAAAAAAGACCTTTTTGACCTTGAGAAGGTCATTGAAGGTCAAATGTCAAATCTTAAGTCAGATTTGAATTTCTGAGAACACGTAGATGATTTTGAAAAAAAAATTTAGTCAATTTGAAGCAAGTTGAAAACAGACATTTTTGACCTTTTTTGACCTTGAGAAGGTCATTGAAGGTCAAATGTCAAATCTAAAGTCAGATTTGAAGGTCAAATGTCAAATCTTAAGTCAGATTTGAATTTCTGAGAACATGTAGATGATTTTGAAAAAAAATTTAGTCAATGTGAAGCAAGTTGAAAAAAGACCTTTTTGACCTTGAGAAGGTCATTGAAGGTCAAATGTCAAATCTAAAGTCAGATTTGAACTTCTGAGAACATGTAGATGATTTAGAAAAAAATTGAAGTCAGTCTAAACAGTATTTGTTAAGTTATAGGAAGTTGTAAGAAATTGTTACAGACGCCAACCGCCGGACGCCAACCGCCAACCACCAACCGCCGGACGCCGTCGCAAAAAAACGGAGACCATAACAATATGTCACCACTTTTGGTGGTGACATAAAAATGCAATTTGGCGTATTTGGCAAGATTTTAAGAATCGGGTATGAGAGTACTGAAAGATGAATTTCTGGATAGGGTTAGATGTGTAGTAAATAGAAGTGCAAGGAAAGTGGTGAAAACCTTTTTGTAGTAAGTGGAATGCAAAAAGGGAGATTAACTTTTTGACGTATTTCTGAGTATGATATATATGTACATGTATATCACATATATGTCAGCTTTTAATCCAGATTTAATATTATGAAACATGGGGGAATATGATAAATCACAATTGACCCGTTTCCATATAAATAAACAAATAGATGGCATCATAGGTGTTTGTAAGGCTAAAACATGTGGCAACCTATGGCAAGATTGAGTAACCTTATTTCTTGATCTTACATGTCACTCCACTTGGATCAACTTAAGAAACCATTTGAAAATAACTATTCGGACTTATTGACATGTGGATTGTGATTTCACATTACAATTGTGATCCTTATAAGAGTAATTGAACTTTAAAAAGTTTTTCAACATTGTGTCAATGGGGATTTAGCTCGACCTTTTTGAGAAAACTTGAAAATCTTTAGAATTTTAATAAAGGTAAATAACAGTGCAAATCAATGTTGTTTTGATAGAAAATTTTACACAGAATTCAAATTAGCCATCAAAGAAGAGAATGTTAGACTTTAATGATTAAAAATGTAAATCTCCTAAATCTAATCAGAAATGAGACTTTAACGAGATTTCAAAGCTCTATGGAAAGTCCTCTATTGCAAAGATTGCTTATATATTTCAGAGTGTTGGGTCTTCCGTCTTCCTCCGTCGGCATAAAAGGGCTGAATCAGGTGGTGATGTAGATTGTGGCACCTTTCAGCAATGTGGAAGAGGATTTCCAAGTTGCGGTAAAGGTTGTAAATGTAGGGCGAGCAGTTCAACAGGTTGGTATAAAATGATCTAAACAAGGAGGATCTGAAAATCAAGAGGGGGGCAAAAATCGTTGAGCCCCAAATCTGAAAATTTAGCGCCAATTTCTAAATAAAGGCTCAAAATTAACAGATACTCCACAGCAATGCTGGTTTGTTACCCAAATTGTCCAATTTATGTCCTAAGAAATTCTCCATCTAAAATGTCACTCGACTTTTTTGTGATTATGAGTCAAAGAAAGCATTCTTGAGTTTCAAATTGACTTCTGTGGTAGCTTGAAACCATCTTCTAATTTATTCCACTTACCTTTTATTGTTCCTCCAAATATATTCTTTGAAAATCGGATTTTAAGGGTGTTAATCAGGGTAATTCTGTGCCATTTTATCAAAAATCTTGTTGCTATCTAGAAACGAGCAATTGTGATCTTGTTGTTACCTAGGAACGAGCAACTGTGATGTCACGTCACACTCATGTTAATTCTGGAATCACATGGCAGCCATTTTGGAAATTTCAAAAAAGTTCCCAATTAAAAAGGCTAAATGCTGTTTACAAATTGGAAACTATGGCAGAATCAACAAAGGGTTTGTGAAATAATTAGGATATGGTTTCAAAATTATGCACATGACAATATATGACTACTAAATGCAGGCAGGGACTTTTAATTGCCAAAAGGTCGAGTGACATTTTAGATGGAGAATTTCTTAGGTAGAAATTGATTTAGGGCTTTTTTGGGGCCCACCAATTAAGGAGGGACCGGGCCCCTACCACAACTCCCTCCAGAACCGCCAGTACATGATATGTTATAATTTTAAGAGATTGTATATTGAATATAAGAAGCATTTAGACAGAAGATGTGGCAAATTTTTGGCTTTTTGCTTATACTGGTTAATGTTGAATAGGGCTGTTGTGAAACTAATCTTGCAGACATAAATTCAAAATATCGACCCGAGTAGGATTCTCTATATTATTTTTAGAACTATGTCAAAATCACAAACGTCAGACTAAATATCATCTTGTATATTATAGGATGGAAATATTGTGAGCCAAGAAAAGCAAACAATGTAGCACCAGTTAAACCAGCACCAGTCGAACCAGCACCAGTCGAACCAGCGCCGGCAACAGGGAAATAAATCAACTGACCACAAATTTATCATTCTTTCATGATGAGAATGTAATAATTTAGAAAACTATTTAATGAAATAAAAAGAAACAGAAAGAATGCAAATATTACTGGTTTCTTTATAGATACAAAAAAGATTTAAGTCAAAATATGAAATGCAGACATTTTGATAATTCCATTTGAAGCTGACAGGGATGTAGTCAGGATCAAGAAATATGCTGTAGATTCTGCCTACATTTCCTGGAGACATTTAATTTGGAAAAAGAAAAAAATTGCTCCTACAAGGCTTAGACATTTTTTACTAAAATAAATCTGTTTTTGAAACCATTTTGAATAAAAAAGACAGAAAAAGAGGTATCCAGATTAGAAAGCTGTTCAGACACCAGATTTTACTAAATATTTGTACATGCAATCACCAGAGAATGCATTATACTTTGAAAAAGATAAGGGACCATTTTCATACACTTATGACAAAGTTATTTCCCCTGTTATTTCCCTGACTATACTTGATTTCAAATGGTTATTCCAACAGTTAACACAATACACATGGTTCACAATTACATGTATAAAAATCCAATGAAGTGGCCTTTTCATATCAGTTCTTTTATCATAAGAATATACAAATTTTTTTGGCACACCCTGTATTGTTACTAAAGTTATGTCATTGCTTCTATGCTTGATTAAATCCAAATAAGTGCAATGAAATGTATTGTTAGTTTAGAATCAATCAGATGAAACATAATATAATTGTAAACTGATTTAAAAACGTGCAATAAAGATGGTATACAGTATGTATTTCTGTTTTAACCATTATTCATATAATCTCTTGTATATCATTTACATTTTGAATTGCATGTATTGTCAATAAAAATAGAAAAATAGAATATTCTATTTGGAAAATGAACAATTAAAGCAATTAACTCAATATAGACATAAAGCTGATTAAATGTTACATGCAGTATCAACGATCAAACTGATACATTGTAGATGTTTTAAATAAATGGTTAAGTAAATACAATTCTGAACATTAGTGATCTTCTCAATGGTAAGCATTTATAGCATCAGTATAATAACTAATATTAATTAGAAAAAGTGAATTGAGGCTTCAGTAAAATATAATTTTTTTAGCATTTACCCAATATCTTGAATGATTAGAAATATCTAAAAAACATAAACATATCAAAACATCTGTAAAAAAATGGTGAAAGGTGGATTTGTTGCTGGATTCATTCTGTTTAGCCTTGTTGCTATTGTAAGTAGAGTTCTTATATGAACAAAATTTAATATCTACCTATGGGAGTTATTGTTTATAAAAATTAAATATACATGTATTGGGATTACATGCACATCAACCCAATATCACTTGCGGACAGGGTGGGCAAAAAACAATACCCAAGTTTAAAGATGAATATCACAGGATATACAATTTATTCTACATGTATATCATTACCTAAAAATATGGCACCATCCAATAAAAAAAACTGTGGAGGCTAAAATTGACACCAGGGGTGTCATTAGCGACCAAAAAATTATTCCCTGCTTATTTCCAAATTGTTGAAAATGGAGGGAGATTTGAACTTTGGCACATTCAAAGGAGGTACATTAATACAAGTTTAGAGCAAAATTCACCAATAATACTTTTTATAACTATCAATTACTCAGATGCGAGTAGGTAGTTACCAGTTTCGCCACCAGGTGGCTGATTCGGGGGAAATAACATGGCAGGGTATTACAAAATTGCCTTAAACTTGAATATTTATCAGTTTTAGTGGTTCACTTTTCATATTACCCTTATGTATCTGACAGCTATACATATTAAAATATGTCCAGTAAAAGAAAATATTATCTGCCCAACACAAGAAAAAATATTTCCATTTTTGTGATTTTCCAACATGGGGGCTATATGGGGAATCTCCCCGACCTAGAAGTCACATTTTCAAAGAAAATTAAATTTTCAAAGTTGATAAACTCTTTTCAAAACCATATTTCTAGATGTGATTTTACATGTAGATTCCAAATATGACATCAATTTGAATTTTGAATTTTTAATGACGTAAATCAAGATTATTTCTACTCGCATCTTGGATATTGTGTATTACTCTTAAATACATTTACTAGTATCTAGTCAAGCATATTGAGAGTGACTGCAATATGAAGGCAAATTTGGTTTTTCCATTTTTTGATTTTTGGTCACTCATGACACCCCTGATGTCAATTTTAGCCTCTAACTCCACAAGAAAGCAAATTAGGGAATGATTTATCTTAAAATAATATATAATACATGGCATGGTTTAAGATATATCATAGGAAGCATCTACCTTTAAACTTGGGTATTGTTTTTTTGGCACACCCTGTACATATTTTTTTATAATTTATTTGAAAAATGAACAGTGGCACTCATTCATTGTGAGGAAAATCCTCCTGAGACTTCATTTTGTTCTTTTCAAATTCATATTCCAGGTGACTCACAAAAGGACTTTAATGTTATTTCTTATAGTAATCATTTTTTATGTTTAAACAGTTACAGTATATACACACGTAACAATAATATTAGCAAGATTCATTTATTGTCTTCTCATCCAACAGAGGATTTTTGAGGGAGATATTGCTCTTGGCCATGGTATAAGGTTGTTATTCACGTGTCAGGATGATATGGGGAATATCCCTTAGATAATATCGATATTTTCCTCAGTCACCCATGTAATATCAAATTCCTTCCGGTGAATAACTATATTTTTATCCAGATTTAATATAATGAAGCATGATTGTAATCTTTCATATTTCAGAGTATTGGGTGCCTTCGTAGGTGCATAGGTAGTGAAATAGAATGTGGTGAATTTGTACAATGTGGAAGAGGATTTCCAAGTTGCCCTAGATGCTGTTATTGTATGACAAGCACTTCTACAGGTTGGTAGTAAATGCATCAAACTTCAGTACATGCTATTGTAAAAGTGTTCAAGATATAAAAGTTGAAAATTTACTAAAACATGGTCTTGGTAGATAAATTAAAAGGATCAATTAAGGGAAGAGGTGCCTGGAGAAAAAAGTTGAAAAATGAGTCTGTCGAAAATAGCTAGTGATTGGAAAACTTCAACTTATTATAGAGTTTAAAAGACTTTTGTTTAAAGATGTTGGTTATAATGAAAACACGCGCTACGCGCTAACGCGCTAGCGCACTAACGCACTGTTCAGAATGATCGTTCCCACAGGCCCAGGAACATGTATAAAAATCGAGTGAGTGAAGAGATTAGGTGGCGCATCAGAAAGCAGAAGTATGAAGAAGCCCAATGTTTGATCGTTAACTGTGCAAAGATAATCGATTGTCAGTGTGTTTTATCTGATTTAAAAGGAAGATAAATAGAAAGTAGCACCTTACAAGATGGATGGTCGCAGATATGCGAATACGCTCCCTATTTCATTGCATTATTTGGGTCCATCCATCGGCGAGAAAAATCCCGTTTCGAAATCTGAGCCGGGGGCCCGACTACTTGACTAATGACTTAATTAATATAATGTTTATTTGTCGCATGTTACCTCTTAATATCAAGTCATGGATGTTTTATATATCTTTACTCTTTGTATTTGAAGTTATATCTCTCAGACTTACCAAACGGTGGGATAATTTGCAGGCGTCGCATTTATATTTTTCCGTTTTTCTTTTCGTGCCCGGTTACACCTCTTTCGCTTTCATGGGGGGGGGTGTATAGGGTTATCGTATAAGAGGAGGGTGAAAATCTATTGTATGACTGCATAAGAGGGGGTAACATTTATCGTATATGGCATCGTATAATAGGCGAGTAGAACCAATGGCCAAATGTGCCAGGAAAGTACTTTTTAAAATACATCATGGGGAAAAGGACAAATGAGGTACCATTGTAAAGCTAAGGACTTCGGCTTTTCAAATCCACTTGTACCTAATTTTGAATTTGGGGCAAAAATTGCAAAAACATCCGTTTCCATAGCAACCATTTAAAATATAATCAATAAATCAGAAATCACCTTTCGGATCGTAGAACGCCTGTTATCTGTCCAATTCTAATGATACATATATCAAAATGAAGCTATTGATGCCCCCTTGTTTATAAACAAGAAAATATGCAAATTAGCTAATTTGCATATCTATTATGACATCATAAGTAGATTTTTTAACCGAATTTGAGATATTTTGGAGATTTATCTGATATAATAATGAAGGATTATTTGTAATCGAAAATTATTGGTAGATATTACTAATAATTCATTATTTGAGTTAGATTATAAATTGACTGCAAGGTTTGAAAAGCGCTAAAAATCAAAATCATAGGATATCCGATAAATATTATACTTACATCAACAATATCACTGTTGCTTATCACAATGATATTGAAACTATTTTATTGCTCAATTCTATGTCTGAAGATATACAAAATAGTGTACCTTTATTCTCATCCTTATCCTTTATCCCGATGCTATTTTAGGCATTATATAGTCCTACAATATTTAAACTCATGGCCGTCAGATGGGGGGGGAGTGCGACGGGTGCGACCGCACCCCCTCTGACACCCCCCCCTTCTAATTTTTTTCCATTGACCCATACCCTTTAATAGTGCCCAGAAAGCACCAAATAGCATATTAAAATTGTAAAATTTTCGAAGAAAGTAGGCCACCCCTCACATCCCCCACAAAACAATTGACAATATTTCTGGGGGACTAGCACTTGCTCCCCCTCTGGCATCCTCACCCCAACTCCCCCTCGGGCACCCCCTCCAAAAAACTTGAAAAAATAGGATTTTTTCTAATCTTTTTTATTGACTCATACACTTTGAAAGTATCCAGAAAGCACTATATAGCATCTTAAAATTGTAGAATTTTCTAGGGGAAGTGGGCCACCTCTCACACCCCCCAAAAAACTATTCTAAAGTTCTGAATTTATTTTATGTATTGTCTCAGATACTTTTAAAGTGCCCAGACATCATCAAATAGCTCCTTGATATAGTCAATGTTTCTGGGGACTAACACTTGCTCCACCTCTGGCATCCTCACCCAACCTCCCCCTCGGGCTCCCTTTGACACCCCCCCCCCCAAAAAAAGAAAATAAATATGATTTAATATTTCTTATTGACTCA